ATAATTTTGTTTAGTGTATTGATAAGGGGTATAGTAGAAATTTTAATAGTTTTCTTAATATGTGTGAAAAAGTGTAGAATGACACTCTTTGTGAAACAGAACGAGTACTAGTTTATCGATTGATTATTTATTTTGATATAAAGAAAATGTCCAAATTTTCTCTAGGTGTCTTTATTTTGGTATAACTTTTGTTTGGATGTCTTCCTGTGATATTGTATTATTCTTGTAAGCTGACATATACAGATTATAGAGAACCTTGCTTTGCCTCGGTTTGAATAACATGATTAATAGAAATATCAGCTTTTAGGAGCATCAAATGTAGAAGAAAGAAAGCAAAAGTAACGGAGAATAGTTTCCTTGCTTTCTCGAGAAAACTAACCAATTAACTAAAATCACAATTATTTCAGTGACGAGCAACACATGAGAACATTAATCATTTGTGGTAATATTGACAAATTAAAGGTTCCACTAGGCCTGGGCATATGGGTAACCCGTTCGGATTCGGGTAAAACCCGTTCGGGTTCGGGTTGAATGGGTAATGAATTTATTGTCCATTCGGATATTTCTATGGTTTCGGTTCCGGTCCGGTTCGGGTATTGTCGGGTTCGGGTTGGTTTGGGTAATACCCGAAGTTTAAAATCACTTTACATACTCAAATGATCAGATAAAGAGATAGAACATCAAACATGACATTTAAATACTAAATCCAATCCAAAATAACAAAGATGACTAATTCACTCTTAAGTGTTAAGAGTAGATTCTAATTATCTATATACATATATAAACATATGTGTATTGCATATATATAAGTATATATATAAGTATATAACTATATAAGACTATATATCTAATTATCTATATACATATATAAACTCAAACGTCAAAAGTCACAAAACCTAAAACCTAGGACATACATATAAGTATATAACTATATAAGACTATATATCTAATTATCTATATACATATATAAACATGTGTATTTTTCGGGTTTGTGGGTACCCTAAATGGGTAACGGGTAATTCCCGACCCGACCCGATACCCACGGGTAATCCAATACTCTACCCAATGAGGTAATTTTCTAATACCCTAACCCGCCCCAACCCGATTTTTTCGGTCTGGATATCGGTTCGGGTATCGGATCCGGGTTTTTTGCCTAGGCCAAGGTTCGACATTATGAAAAATGGACCTATAATAAATGTTAGATGATGATGGAATCTAGAAGTCTATATTTAAAAAATGAGATTGATGAACAAGGGAAAAAATCTTTTTTTTTTTTTTTTTTTTTTTTTGGGCAAAAGAACAAGGGAAAAAATCTAATATTGTAAAATTTGAGAAACATAAACTCGCATAAAGAAATATCAAAAACTGTATTTCTTTTTAGAATTTTGTGCAAAAAATCTCTCCAACTCGCCCCATTTTTCAATTTTACCATTCATCTCCGAAAAATACATATTAATCCTACGAAATCCAAAATAATACGCAATATAACCCTTATTTGCTATCGTCAAGTTCGTAAAAATTTGACAAATAATATATCAAATTGAAACCCTCGCGATGAAGAGTTCGACCTTACTCTTAAAAATTTTAAAATTAATGTATGTGACCGGTAAAACGTTTACAATATACGTATAAGGGTTATATTGCGTATTATTTTGAAAAAATAGACGAGTTGGAGAGTTTTTTTGCACAAAACATTTTTTTTGCATACTTGGATTGTTTCAGATTTTAACCTATTTTTCATAATATCAATGATAGATCGCAAAACATGATATATATATATATATATATATATATATTGAACTCGACGGTAAACAAATAGTCAATCTTTTTTTAATCAATTACCAGATAAAGATTATTGTAGTAATATTTATAGATTTTGCTATTTTATCTTAAATATTTTAGATTTTCCACTTTCTTATATCTACAAATATAATTTAATACATTTATGTTTGGGTTTTTTGGTTCTATTTTTTGTATGGTTAAGTGTGTATTTTATAATAATAAAAAGTTACAAATGTATAATTTTAAAAGTGATCAAAAATAACAAATCTAAAATATTTGAAGCAAAATGACAAATTCAAAAAAATATGGGTTATAAAATGGCAAAATCAACAATAATCCTTTTAACTTATCAATGTTATAAATAATTAAATAAAACGGTTCATATTTGTCTTTGTAAAAGTGGAAAAACATGAAAAATGAATATAATAAGTATTAGGATAATGACATTTTATATAGGCTGAACATGCTGCCCAACACATAAGCCGTTTAGAAACTTGAAGGCTCTTTGTTTGGTACTCATTAATCTTTTTATTATTATTTTTGTTGGTTATTATTATGATAATGCCTTATTGGATTTGACATCACCCAGACACTCGCAATATTTGGGTTAAACATAGATTAATAAATGAAAATGGATATAAAAATGATAGAATCCTCTAGCCTTGGAAGTGCTAGTTTTATGATTTTTCTTGTCTCCACCATAGAACAAAAAATAATTTTAAAATATAACATAAGACTTTCAACTTTCTCAATTTCTTCTTTTATACCATTTCTCCCTTTGGAAAAAAAAATTATTCATCTATACTGCACACTATTATTCATCTATATTGCACACTGTGCTAAAAAAAATCTCACAAACGAGCTAGAGATATCATCATGTTAATTAGGAGAAAACTTGTTTTTTTTTTTGAGAAATCGTAAGAATTTTGAATCTTTGAATTCCGGTGTTCGAAACCAACTATTGATAATACCACGTTTAATTAGTATATTAATCATCTTTTCCAAATAAAGTCGAACTATATAATATCCCTAATATTAGAGCTTAAGTACTCAGTTTCAAAACCACTATGTCATCACCCACTTGGTAAACTACTAGCTACATTAATTTTTTATAGAGAGTACTACATTAACGTTTATTTTGCATGAATCTTGTAAGTAGTAGTAACTTAAAAACAATGTATTCGTTTTACCTATTTTATAGTGTTTGTTCCGATGTAATGTATCATTCAAAGTTTTGATATAGTAGCTAGTATTGCAAACGTTTGACAAATTCTCGAAACAATATTATAATTGCAACATTAATTAACGACACTTCAAAATAGGAGTTCTTTTTCTTTAACATATATTGCTTGTTTCATTTTTCGTCGGGCAACATTTCTGTTTGTTCATTTAAGACGACGATCAAAAGGCAACTAAAAATATTGACCAAAAATTACCACGTGCTTTGCTTATTATAAAAGTTCAACGCATCACATAATTAGCATGGATGCACTGCAGACAGCTTAACCTCTCCATGCATTGTATTTGTAATTTTTATTAAGGCGGCCGATTTTTTTAACTATTTCTCATTTCCTTTTTCTGATTACCTTTTCTATTTTCATCGTTGACTTTAATGGACGACACTTAGAGTGGAGTACAGACAATACCAAATGCAATTTTACTACCGTAAATGTAAGTTTTTTTTTTGTTAAAAAACGTAAATGTAAGTTATCATATGAGATGATAAACATATACCAAAGGGAAAAAAAAGAGAAGGCAAGTACGTGAAAATATTCATATACATGATATGCTAATTGATACGCAACTTGAGATTCCATTTCTCATTTTCTTGTGAATAAGTGTAATTTCGTAAAAAAATTTATGTTTGCTAATTTTAAATTAGATATCTACTTTATATAGAAAAGGCATTTTAAAACATAAGCTTTTGAACAATTTTTAAAATATATGTATTAAATGGAGAATAAGTATATATCCAAGTTGAATACAATTATTTGGTTGGTAGCTTATCCGGCTTATTCCGGACACAAAATAACACAACCAAAAGAAACTCTAAAAATCAAATAATAACCGATACCCTACTCATATATACTTATAGTCAATAATGAAATACGCAAGATTTATAGTCATTCCTCAACAGTAGTTCGTGCATGGTGATTAAATGTCATGAAACAAGCAACCCACACTCAAATCTAATCTTAAATATATAGAGCGTTATGTACTTATGTAAAACTCTATGATAACCCGTAACCAAACTGATATAGATGTAACTATATAATCTATCCGAATTTGACCAGTTACATATAATATAAAGTTTTATCGATGAATGCGTCGTATTCATAGAATAATGCTGGTGTATTCTTACCTTTCTACGTAATCAAACATAAATATAGTTCAAAAAGAAAAAAATATCTCGATGTTCTTGAGAACATATGTCATGAAGGAAAGCATCATCTTTCCTTTTTAGGTAACCAATTATTTTGAAAGCAGCCAGAAACTATAGAACTAGAATTTGCAAGTTGATAATTTTGCAACTTGTTTGCACTAGTGTTTTATGTTTTTTTAATATTACAGAATAACAGGCAAAAAAGTTCCAGTACTATTGAATATAATTAACGGGATTAACCCTAAATTAATTGCTCTTTGATATATAGTTCCAAACAAAAAAAAACCTTCGGTAATAATTTGGTTGCTACATTGAACAAAACGTCTTTCATATTTTTAGTGTAAAACTTGTTTCAAGTACAACGGGTGATTGGATGGATCCAATCGATAATAATTCATATATATATACTACAAAGTGATTCTACATAGTGATTCTCTTTTTTTTTTTTTTTTTTTTTTTTGAGCAAACTACAAAGTGATTCTCTAAACGATAATAATTCATATATACTAACAAGTAGCAATCTAAAATAAACATGACAAGAGAGGATCTTGGTCCTCCATGATATATAGTAGAAAATGTTGTTTTGACTACTATCAATGATTCAGACTACTGATTAAAATATGAATCTAACATCATATAACCAATGTTTAGTAGTCCACTAATTCAAATTCATATATATAAATTTAACATCATATAACCATCCGTGATTATTATTTATAGAACGATTTATTTATTTACATATTCACATGTAAAAGGTACACCACCACTATGACAATGTCAGTAGGTACCTTATATACATATATATATATATATATATATATATATAGACTCTTAACCCAAATCTTTCTGACTAATCTCTTTATGTCATTAAAAACGTATACAGTGCAAATATCCGACTTATGATTACTTAACTTCATGGTAAATCCAACCATTAAACTACAATGCATTGCTAATATAATATGATTTGATTCGATTCGTCTGCATATTAAAACTAAATGGGAAAAATATTAATCTCTTCCTTCTCAAACAGAGACTTTAATTTCACCAGTACGAATTTGTCATGTATTGCATTTGCAACTGAGGCTGAGACTGAGACTGAGACTGAGACTGACATTCCACTAAGTCCACACAAGCTTCTTCTTCCTCATGCAACCCATCCAAATTCTGCCACAATGTTAAGAAATGAATAAATAGTTAGATAATTATCAGTTAATTACACAATCTCAATTTAAATACAATTTATTATACTTGTAAGATTAGGAAGAAAAAGCAAGTTTTGTAATTTAGTAATCAACTTTAATTTACTGACCCAAAGGTCGTCGTCGTTTTCTTGTCTAGTGAAGGAAGAAGCAATCTTGGGGTTCTCAAAAACTTCGTCGTTTCTTGCAAATCTGCCACGTACTCTTGGTCTGTTGTCCGCCAACGTTTTCCGGCATGCATACTTCAATTTTTTTTTCCATTTAAATAATTAAAGAAATAAATTAGAGGGGTGCAAATAAAAATCAAAATTGCAAATATAAAGTTGTAAACAATTGAATATGTGCATAATGCATATAATTTGAGTTTCTTTTTTCTTTATACAACCGGAAATAACCAAGCAAAAATTTAAGGTAATTTCGAAAGTCTCTGAAATAGTTTGATAGTACTAATTTAGATTTCAGTTTCTTTGAAAAAAATTAAATTCGGCCTATTCCGGTTTAATTTTTATTTTGACCTATTAATATATATAGAGAAAATTAGATCTTTTTTTTTATTTGGTTGAGAAAAAATAAACTAATTTAAACGAAATTAAATTCATTTAGAAATTTAAATTGTTAATCCTAGTTATTTATTAATTAAAATTAATACTACCTTAATGGTTTTGGTGAAGTTTCTCTGTGTTCGTTTAGCCCTATACTTAGAAATCTTCTCTTTACGTTCTTCGGAACTGTAACGCCCTACCCTCAAGCTTTGTTCTTCGCCGGAAAAAACCGTCGTTGATGAACTCTCCGCCGCCAAAGGACTCGAGTATGATCTCTGTCCCGTAAAATCCCTTCCTAAATTCTAAACAAATTCCAAAAATTAGTTTTATGTTAAAAATTACAGAGGAAAACAGAGGATGTTATAGCTAAAGTACCTGCAAATCTCCGGTGCTATAAACTCGTCGCATGTGACAGGAGAAGAAGGAATCTTCCGGCGAGTTTAACAAATTCTGATTCTGGAAATTGGAGGAATCTTCCATGATTGGAGCATCAAAGGGAGAATTAAACAAGAGCTGCTCTGTTTTGACGGCGTCGAAGTTTTCGAAACCGGAGAAATTGGGGAAACTGTTTGTGTGAGAGAGAGTTAAGGTTTGGAGCTGAGAGATTGGTGGAGAAGAAGAGAGGAGATGATGACTCGTTGGGGTAAAACTTTCAAAGAAACTGAGAGATTGATGATCATCCATTAATGGATTGAGATAAGGATTGTTGCAGAAGAGATCTGTTGTTGTTGTTGTGTCTGAAGAAAACATATCAGGATCAGTACTGTGGCAAATTGAGGAAGAAGAAGAAGACCCATCAAAGATATAAAGATCAGAATCCATTTTTTTTTTCTGTTTGTGAAGATTCTCAATGAAGGAGTAGAAGAAGAAGAGAGCAAAACAATTGAATCTTTTGGGTTATGTTCTGTCTTTTTTTCTTCTGTCTCTGCAATTGAATTCAGCAAATGAAACGGTTACAGAGAAACACAAGTGACACTCGTGATCTTTGTTTTTTTGAAAACCACCAGAATCCAAAAATGGCAAAAAGAAAAAACCTTTTTTCTTAATGTAAATTTGGACCTTTTTCCCAAAAAAGTGTGATTTTTTTTTTCTCTTTCTTTTTCTTCACAGTTTCTTGTTTCAGAACCAAGACATGACAGGTCCAGTTTATTTGGTCTGGTGGGCTATGTTTATCTAGCGGACAATTAGTGGGTTTAACAAATTTGCCCTCTTATTTTACTTATGTTACGAATTGCTCCGTATACATTTCTGTCCCTGCTTGCAACTAATTTATAGTTTAGTAATATTCTTTCCGGTGTTTTTATATCTAAAAGTCTAAACCCACTAGGGTATTTTGCATGACATAAGCAGAAGGTAAGAATTGGTTAACTTTTTATAGTCTTGATTGCTATTGAAATAGAAACAAATCGAATATAGAGGGTGATTCGTAGAGCCATTGACGACACTAGACTTTTCTTTGAAAAAAAAAGAAAACCTGTTGAGAAATTTGGTCTCAAAGTAACGGATGTGACTTTGATAAAGTTAAAGTTACATACTTACATTACATGTGGTGATTGGCGACTGTAAAAAGCTGCAAAATATTTTACGGTCTTTGCAACATTTTTTAAAAAATTGTAAGTTTTTTCTTTTCTCTACGACTTTCATAGTCTATTCCTAAACTTTTATAGAAGTATAAACTGGAATATACTTGAGATAAATCGTAAATTAAGGTAGCAACATCTCATCTTGAATTAGTATCTCAAATTTGACGACTACCAATCATATTATAATCATTTAACACAAACTACCCTCCATTTTATGAAGAGTAAATGTAACTTTTCAAGCATACTTCTATTTAACTCTTACGAAAGCTACTCCCTCTGTTTCACAAATAGTGTCTTTTTAAGATTTTATTTTTGTTTCACAAAGAGAGTCGTTTTGTATTTCCAATGCAAAATTTCGAATAAAAATATATTTTTAACTATATTTTTAATGTATTAATAAGAGAGATAATTTTGTTTAATGTATTAATAAGGGGTATAGTAGAATTTATAATAATTTTATTAATCATATATATAAAAATTGGTCAACTCTCTCCATATGAGTGTCACATCATCACATAGGAAAATGACATGTGTCATTCTAAATTATTTAAATAAAAAAATTAGCAAAATTAATTGAGAGAAAATCAAAAGTCTTTTGTTGTGTTAAATTCTCTATTAATCTCACTCTTAATTGATTTTTTAAGAAACTAAAAAATAAAGTAAAAGATCATACTAATGTATCAAGCACTACTTTCATTCTACTCTTCTTATATTATTAAAAAAAATTTATTGATGGTCATTACACTATAATGGCTAAAAAATTACTTCTGTTGTAGTTTATATATTTGCTACCTAACTTCATGTTACGTTTTGTGAATATGACATTTTCTCTTTTTATTTTTGTGCATTATGATAAGTTGGTAACATTGACACACAATTTCCTTCATTGAATGGTCCTTTGAGACGTTAGACATACCAAGAAATTAAAAACCGAGACTCTCTCTTATATGGTTGTATGCAAGGAGAAAGATCTACAGTGTTGACTTAAAGTACTAGCATATCATGATGTGATTGGCGTAATAGATGACGAGAAAGTAAATGGAACAAAGAATTGTTTGTTTAGAATTAAGTTAGCCAAGTTTCAAACCACATAAGTAACATAATTACATACCATTGTATCAATATATCATATATTATTGTTGTATGTATTCATGATAATGAAAGACTAGGATCGTAGGTATATATAAATAATCAGATTTATACATAAAAAATGTTAAACTAATATCTTGAGTCAAAGATGAATCTAATCATAAAGATTATAACTATAGAAAATATATATGACTTTATTAATTACATAATAACACACACAATAACATAAAACGCAACAAAACCCATAATCATATTTTTCTGCAATTTTTAAAACAAAAACCCACGCGTAGCGTGGGTATTCATCTAGTATATGTAAAAAAATGTAGAATGACACTTTTTGTGAAATAGAGAGAATATTAAATATTGTATGTAAGTCATTTATCATTTAACTAGTTGTATAATAAGTATGGACATATTTGTGTATGTCATATACTTATTATCAAAAAGATATTTTTTTTCTGAGAAACATATTTGTGTATTTCAATACAATTTCAATTTCGTTTATATTTATTAGATAAAAATAATAAATTAACTTTATTTTAGCTTTTAGATAATAAAATGATAAAATAGTGGAGTAAAAAATATTATTAATAATAATCTGTTTTTGTCAACCATTGTATGCAATTGCAAGTCAAATGGATAGGAGAGAACAAAATTACAACTCGAGATCCATGCGAAAGAACTAATTACATGCTTTAAATTTAAAGTTCGAGTTTGACAAAAAAAATGTAAAGTTCGATAAATTTAATTTCTCCTTACGAAGAATGAACTCATCTAATTAATTATAGACAAAATGACTTTGTTTTAAAAAATTTGTTAGAGAAAAGACAACTACAATTTATTTGATGATCTAGAAACTTTGACATGGTCCAAATTAAGGTTTTTCAATTTCAAATACAAAAGAAGAAATTAAAAACTTTCTTCTTTGGATTATTTTCTTTAGTGTAGTAGACCCAATCCAATTTGAAGTCGGCAGAAGAGTTCTTCTCTTCTTTTTTTTTTTTTTTTCACTGGTAAATATTGATTATGCCAAGCAAATGATACAAGATGAAGTATTATAGCCGGCGAAACAACAAGATGTCCCAGGAAATCAAAGATGAAATACTATAGCCGGCGGAACAACGAGATATCCCCGGAAACAAAAATCCAAACAAGGGAAGCATAGCCCTAAACAACAGGGAAGCATCATACAAATGACGAGATAACCTAAAGAAAAAGTTTACAAAGGAAAAACTGTAGAGTTCTTCTCTTCTAAAAACCATATAATTGATACCTAATAGAAATCTTGAAAATTAATTTAGTTTGGCTTCCAAATAAATAAATTCAACTATGACTATTATTTCTTCCTTTTCCGTTTGATAAGATTTTCCGTTTTATTTCAACTATTTTAATGCATTTACTAATTTAATTTTTATATAGCATATTAAATTAAATTTAAAAAGATTACTTTTTTTTAATATGTACGAAAAAATTTAAATGACACTTAATATAAAACACAAAAAAAATATATAAAATTTTACTAGTATTTATATTCTAAGATCTTTCTTATTTTAAAAATTAATTGTTTGATAATTTCGGGGCATTCACCAAGGTGCATATTTTCAAATTTCAACCAATCAAAAACCTTTAAGATGTTAGATTTTTGTCCACGACAATTGATTATTTTTCGGAAAATAAAAATAATTATTGGTCAAAAGTGGTCCTAAATAAAAATCAATAATAGTCAAAGTTCTGAATTTTCTAAGAAACTGATTTCATAAATAAAGAGATAGAGAGAGGCAGAGAGCGAGTGAGGGAGACGATCGAAGTTTCAGTTTCTGCTTTCTTCAATTGAAAGGTTTGTTCTTGAAGTAGATCTGAATCAATTGATTTAGGGTTTTACGAATCTGAATCGTTTCTTCTTTCTGTGTGGTGAAGGTGACTTTTTGAAGTTTCCAAAGCAATGGCGGGGTCACAAGATAAGCTGGAGAAGATGAAACTCCGTCAGGATTACCGGAACTTATGGCACTCCGATCTCATGGGCACCGTCACCGCCGACACTCCCTGTAAATCTCACTCTCTTTTTGATATCTCTAACTTCATTGTTTGTTCAATTGGAGAACTAATTTTGGTTTTCTTGGTTTGTTTGTTTTACTCTTTTTGCAGATTGCTGCATCTCGTGTCTGTGGTAAGTTGTTGTTGCTCTATTTTCTTTTAGGGTTTCGTTGTATTGTATCTGAGATACTTTTAGGGTTTTGCAATTAGCAATCAAGAAAAGCAACATCTACTGATTCAATTTGAGTCTGTATTCGTGGTTTTGGTTACATATTTGATGTGTTGTTATACATTTTGAGTGTAGTGGACCTTGTGTTTCATACATGCTTCGGAGAAGAGCACTTTACAATGACATGTCAAGGTATGTTATTTCGTAACTTATGTAGAGATCGGTCTAAGATTTTTTTAGTTTCTTTCCTTTGCTAAGATATTACTGCACGTCCTTCTGTTTTGTGCAGGTATACTTGCTGTGCTGGATATATGCCTTGTAGTGGGAGATGTGGAGAAAGCAAATGTCCTCAACTTTGCCTTGCCACCGAGGTGAGACTTTGATTTTTTTGGTGGAAGGAAATTTAAGTCTTACATGCCTTGTTTGGGTTATAAACAAAATGAAATGGGGATGTGAACATGAAACAGCTTATGATTTGGATGTTTTCTTGATCTTTCTTTTTCGTTTAGCTGTGTGTTTGTTTCTAGGACGTTTGTTCGAATCTGATATAATGTGATTCCGTCAAAGTCCTCTTGTAGTTATCTTCTTGTGCTCTGTATGCTCTATATTTGAATTCCGTTGCTCGACTTATTTGAATCAGAAGATTACATTATCTTTGTGAACTTTACAGATGAGTGGAATGTTCTTGATATTTTGGCTTGTGAAACCTGCTTGTATGAGACGCTTGTAATAATTCAATAGATGATTCTTATGAATTGACATTTGGTTTGAAGCAACTTGCAATTGGTGTTTTCAGGTTTTCCTCTGCTTCGGAAACTCTGTGGCCTCTACCCGCTTTCTCCTGCAGGATGAATTCAACATCCAGACAACACAATGCGACAATTGCATAATTGTACTCTCATACTCTCTTTTATCGGTTTTACACAGAATGCACATCTGGGTGAAACTAACAAATCTCATCTTGTGCGATTGCAGGGATTTATGTTCTGTCTCAGCCAAGTTGCTTGCATATTCTCTATAGTTGCTTGCATTGTTGGTAGCGATGAACTTTCTGAGGCTTCTCAGATACTCTCTTGCTGTGCTGATATGGTCTACTGCACGTATGAATTTACTTCATGTGATTTTTAGCTTCTCCCTCTGTTCTATTCATGTTCACGAATTGCTAATACTTTGCGTTCTTGATTTCCTTGCAGGGTTTGTGCGTGTATGCAGGTACTAGAAAGCGAGAATTAGAAACTTATCTGAGCTTCTGGAACTATCTTCTCTTATGGTATATATATAACCCAAAATCCAATCTTCTGCTTGCAGACACAACACAAGCTTGAGATGGACAAAAGAGATGGAGTATTTGGATCTCAACCAATGGGCGTGCCACCAGCTCAGCAGATGTCCCGTTTTGATCAACCTGTCCCTCCAGCTGGATACCCTCAGTCCTATCCACCGCCTGCTCAAGGCTATCCTCCTGCATCTTACCCGCCTTCTGGTTATCCCCAACATTGAGAATCTTAACCGCTATCTTCATTTTCTGTGTGAAAGTGTTGTTTTAACTCGGTTTAGGTGTGCAGAACTTTAATATTTTTCAGCTATCTTCCTTGGTTATGCGATTGTCTTACAAGGATTGGTACTCTTATTATGCCCAAAAATATTCGGTATTATCTGGTTTGTTGATTTCGTTGGTATGTTCTCCCATTTATCTGATGAACCAAGAGTGTATGTGTCTATATGTGTGGGTTTGGTTGTTTTTTTTTTATTGGCACTCTGTTATATAATCTACTTGCAATTGCTTAACCAACCTGTTTAAGTTTGCAGACATATAAGTATATTAAAGACATAAGCTTTCTAGTTTCTACTTTCTAATAAAAATTGACTTAAATTTTCTAATTTTTTTGTTGGCCTAAATTTATTTATCAGACAATTCATGCATTTATCTCAATTCAAACCAAACCAAAAGGGTCTCTTGTACAAGTATGGAAACAACTTTTGAAGTTTGAAAATCTTCTCGTGTCAACCTAACAGGAGCATAACAAAGAGCAGTAGCAGTCATGTCCATGAAACTCACACTCAACAACAACAACAACAAATTTAACATGAAAACAAAAAACTGGGTCCAAAAGTAAACACAAGAAAAGCAATCTAAAAAAGGTCGATTCACCTCACAGATGCATTCACATGGGAAGATGGTTGCTCTCCAATTCGTTTCTCGAGGATTGACTGTTTCAAGAAAGCATGTCCAGATAGCTTTTGTCCAATCTCCCATCATGCAACATATTAATCACCATACTTATCGTTGAAGCATCTCCAGCAAACCCGCAATTCCTCATTTCTTTGATGAGTTCAGCCGATGCCGCTTTGTTACCATCTCTAAGGCGTGCCCTAATCAACGTATTATACGTACCACTATTGGGACGAGGCCTGTTTTCTTTCATTTTATTGAACAAGGCATCTGCTTCCTCCTTTAAATCTTTCCTACAAAATCCTGAGATCATTGTATTGTACGTTACAACATCAGGCTTCACTCCTTTAAGGCTGAGACTACAAAATAAATCCCTACCATCTTCCACCTTGCCAGCTTTGCACATCCCTTCAATCATAATATTATATGTGAATATATCAAGTTCCATTTCACTCTTTTGCATGTACTCGAATACCACCAATGCTTTCTCTAGCTTCCCGTTATTACAAAGTCCATCTAGTAAGATACTGTATGTCATAATACTGGGAGATATACCAACTGAAACCATCTTTTTGAAAACTTCTTGGGCATTATCACAATCTCCAGCTTGAAAAAACCCTTGGATAAGAGTGGTGTAAGTGACTGTGTCTCCAACCAATCCTCTTTGGGACATCTCGTAGAAGAGTTCCATACCATCCTCTACCCTTTTACACTTGCAAAATCCCTTTATAAGAGTACTATATGTCACTACATTTGGGAGACAATCCTTGCTAACCATGAACTCAAACATATGCTTGGCCTCGTCTAGGAGATCGTGCATACAAAACCCGTTGATCAATGAATTGTAAGTGATAGCATCAGGATCTATAGACCTTTTGATCATCTCCTTGTACAATTTATCAGCCTCTATAAGCTTTCCCTCCTTGGCAAATGCATCAATCAATGCATTGAAAGTAACGATGTCGGGGTTGATTTCCCTCTCAATCATATCACTAAGTAATCGAGAGGCATCGCTCCATCTTCCGTAATTACAAAGGCAGCTAATGAGGGAGTTATAGGAATAAACATCTGGTCGAGTGCCTTTGTTCTCCATTTCATTGAATAGGTCAAGTGCATCATTCACATGTTTGTATTTGCAGAGACCATTGATAACTGTGTTGTAGATTACAACATTTGGCTCTATTTTCCCTTTCTCCATCTTCTTCAACAAACTCAAAGCCAAATCAATATCACCTCTCTTACATAATCCATTTACTACAGCACCGTAAGTAACCGTATCTGGTTGACAGCCTTTCACAGCCATCCGATCAACTAGCGCCACTGCTTCTGAAGCTTTGTTGTGGAGGAAAAGACCATGAATCAAAGTTGTAAATGTAACGGTATTAGGTTGACATCCCATTTCGACTATTTGATCAACCAAAGCTACAGCCTCGGAAATCCTCTTACCATGACAGAAACCATTGAGCAGGGAGTTAAGCGTGACAACATCGGGCTCATAACCGAGTTTAATCATCTTGCCAAAAACAGCTAAAGCAAGAGAGAGTTGAGAGCGGCGGCAGAAAGAGTTAATCAAAATATTGTAAGTATAGAGATCATGAGCAATTCCCAAGTTTTGCATCTGCTCGCCCAGAGAGATGACAACATCGAACTTGTTCATCTTAGCAACGGCACTCAACAGTTTACTGAAATCAACAATGGAAGGGAAAGGACGAGACTTGACCATTTCACCGAACAAACCAATTGCATCATCTAACTTAATGTCCTGTAACACATTTCTACTCAATTTCTCTCTGTAATCACCACTGCCACCAGAAAAAGCTCGTCTCCAGCAACAGGACCCGCAAAGATTAAAGGAAGAAGGTACGGTTGGAGAATTACCTTTCCCCTGGAGATTCCGGCGAACATATCTCTTCGCCGTCGACGAAAATACACTCGTAATCGATCTCTGCATCGTCTCGATTTTGGCTTCAGCTGATTGAGAAGACTTCTTTCTCAATCCCAGTCTCACTCACTCTCACTATCCAAATCGCAAAACCCTACACCGAGAAAATATGCAAACCAGTGGGGTTCTGGTTTAGAACTTATTATTACCAAACCGGTTTGCTTTGTAAGAATAGCAATGATTTTTATAAGCATGAAATAGTCAACCAATGATGTCAATCAGTAATAGTAAGTTCAGGTCTCAAACCGGTTTTATAAGCATGAAGAAGGTACGGTTGGAGAATTACCTTTCCCCTGGAGATTCCGGCGAACATATCTCTTCGCCGTCGACGAAAATACACTCGTAATCGATCTCTGCATCGTCTCGATTTTGGCTTCAGCTGATTGAGAAGACTTCTTTCTCAATCCCAGTCTCACTCACTCTCACTATCCAAATCGCAAAACCCTACACCGAGAAAATATGCAAACCAGTGGGGTTCTGGTTTAGAACTTATTATTACCAAACCGGTTTGCTTTGTAAGAATAGCAATGATTTTTATAAGCATGAAATAGTCAACCAATGATGTCAATCAGTAATAGTAAGTTCAGGTCTCAAACCGGTTTTATAAGCATGAAATAGTCAACCTTTCTCTAATTACACTTTTGTATAAAATTGGTGATGGCTGTTATTTTACTCTACTTTTGGTTCCATATACTTGTCTTGAAAAAAAGTGAACTTGCTTCATTGTTGGTAATTTGATTTTGTAGCAATGATTTTTTTTAATTGAATTTAAAGCAAAGACCTTTTTACAAGCAAAGGAGTTAATTCTGATTTGATTAGAGAACTAATAATGGTTCATTGATAGTCTCTGCGTATTCCACACCTGGAAATTACATCAATCAGTATTGCTTGGCATACATTTTATATATAGCTGAATCAATTGTAAGATTTACAGAACCAGAGTATATAGCCTCCGACCCTAATAAATAATCCAACACCACTATTCTTTTGTATGAATGTAAAATTATATTCAAACAAAAACTGTTTACAATTAGACGCTTATTAGTGAACAGAGATACCACTATTTTTCTCGAGAGAAGCGACATATTTGCGAGGATTAACTCGGTGTCAGTGGCTTTTTGGATTGATATACCAGACTAAATCCCAACAAAGATGAAAAGATTATAACTTACATATAGCAAACATCATTTGAAGTCTGAAATTTACATGATCGAAGCTTCTCTGACTTTTGAGAACCATTCTTGTGTTAACAAAACAACAAGTGTTTGCATAAACTCTTACCTGATGAACCAAAAGTGTTTGTAATTTTCTAAGTGTTTGGTAACATTTTAATATTACAAAAGATTGATAGTATTAGAGAGGCTACATAAGCTAGTTAATGCGAGCCAGAGTAGGCTTTTCTTTTTCTTCAGAACCTAATTGTCTTTGTAACACTATGTTCACTTTAACTTATTTATCGATTCCTTCTGTTCCAATTGGCGCACGAGGATGGACGTGGAACCATCGAGGATGGGCAATGTTTCTTAGGAAGTATATCTAGGTATAATGAAAATGTCGAAAACTATAAAATAGAGAGCTAATGATTCATTCATACCATCTTTTGCATTGTCTTTATGCTTTCTAGTCAAAATGGGTCAACCACAACAAATGTTCGAAGAGTTGTATATCAGTTTATTAAAATGCTTAGAAATTCAGTGTATTCGCAATTAATTAATTTTTTTTTAATATCAAACTTGGTATATTTAACTCTTACTATTTCTCTTAATTTCAAGATAAGTTGTACAACTATCATAAAAATTGTTTGAAAATCAGCCAAAAGAAAAAAACTATCATAAATTGTAACATATAACCTATAAACAAAATCAACATATTTAAAGATAATTGTGAGCAATGTTTTGAATCATCATATAGATGATGGGGCAAGTTCGGGTTGGTAGATAACGGTTTAATCTTTTTGTTTTTTGGTCAAACAACGGTTTAATCTTATAACCACTTCTTTGATGTAAACCACATAATTGTAAAATGGTCGAAATAAAGGAGGAAGGATTATAAGAATAAATAGTTTTTCTAGATTCGCAATTTTGACTTGTTCACCAAATTTATGAAAAAAACAATTTGGAATTATTCAAAATTTTAAATAATTTTACTATTTCAGTACGTTATTTTAAGGAAATAATATATAGTTGAAAAGGCTTTAATTTTACTTTATTTTTATTTATGTGGTAAACCGAAAGCAAAAAAATGATTAGAAACGTGTGGGCTCTATAGAGAGTATAGGGAATTGAAAGAAATAAGCACACGCACAGACAAGTCCACGTATGCCACGCGGCGACAGCATAACATACTCCAAAGTTTACATTCACATGGGAAGCTTCCCCCGCGTCACGCCTTTGCTTAAACCAGTTTTACATATTCGACTTTGTACCACTTTCTATTATGAGACTCCAAATGATTATTTTATTTGTTTTTATTTGGCTCTTAAAGTCCTAATTCCCAATGATTAAGAGTTCATTTGTGATCTCTTGTAGAAATTTCTTTTCTTATTGAATAATGATAGAGATACAACTATATATATTTATACACAATGAACACAACTTGGTATATAACTATATATACAAGTAAAAGATCTAGTCTTACTAGAAAGTAAATTATACATATTTACTAGATATTTCTTATATATATTTTACACGCTGTTTCGAGATAAATGATAGATAGATTAGCTTATTTTGTCAAAACGAGTAGCGAATAACATGCCAAAAACCTAGTTAATTAATACATCTGTTAAATGATCTTTTGGTGAAACATGAGCAGCACATAAGAAACCATGAATGAAAAACATGATTAGAATAAAATGATAATCAAGTGCCATATGTTTCAAACATGAATAAAAAAAAAATATGATTAGCGCGCGTAGATAAGATATATGGCTCCAACATTTTCACAATATATCACATGATGAATGGTGGTAAAGGAGACACCTCCAAGCTCCTTTATGAGAGACGTGATCCAACAAAGGTAATCAAACGCAATGTCCACGATAGATCCATATATTCATCTTCGGTTGACGATCTTATACCATTGATTTTTGCTTCTTTGAAAACTATGTAATCGGATGAGAACCTAAGTACACGATGTTAACATTTGTGGTTAATTTTGGTTTCCAATTTCATTTTATTTCATCACTATAATTTAAACGTAAACAAAAAAATATAATTAATTTGCGTATTTAATGTAGAAAATTTACTCTTTTTATTCTTTCAAATTTGTCCTTGAAATATAATACATGTAAACAGTATAGAACACTTCAAAAACATGTTGAGAGAAATATTAGTTCAACATGTTATAAGGATGAACAAACAATGGCCTATGCAACGGCACATCCCTCTCGCCTTTGGCAATCTTCAAAGACATCGACAAGGAAGTCAGAAACACTATCACCGCTTGCACAAACAGGAAGGCTTTTAGAAGTCTGATGCTTTGGTGGATCCGGTAGCACCTGTTGATTGACACTCAACATTCCTTGAATCTCTTGTTTTTTAACTTTTTTTTGGCAAGATTACAATCGTTTGGTTAAGGTTTTTTGTAAAACCTCAACTTTCATTAATATGATATTCACATTCCTATAAAAGAAAACAATGACCTATGCATGTTGATTTTAAATTATAAAAGAAAGAGATCACTGATGTAAGCCTTTTATCAAAAAAAACAAAATCGTTGAGTTAGCTAGGTGAACAAGTGAACAATTAAAAATATAACTTCTAAACAATGTTTATTAAAATAGATAATATGGAAAAAAAATTACACATTCATGTAGTTAATCTGTTATAGCAAATAATTTATTATTATTTTCCTTAACAAGAAAACAAAGTCTACAACTCAATAATAACTCAAAACTAGATAACAACCCGCACGATATGCGGGATGAAGTGATTCAAGTAAAATTATTATGATTAAAATTATTATCCGGGATCCAAGATCCGTTTGTGTAAAACGAAACATATTACAATCTTTTTTTTAAAATTCAAATTTGGGACTATTTCATATAAAAATATGTTTTACCCGTGAAATATTTGAACCTTGAATAAAGCTTCAACGTGATAAAAAGGTATTGACGAAATGTTAACATTTATGGCAATATGTCTTTCCGTATGTTTTAAAGATTTCGAGATTTTGTAGAAAAAAAGAAATTTTTTTTTTAATAAGTATAAGAAATCAAAATTTAGTAAAGATGAAATTTGATAGTTTCCAAGCTAAGATTTTGTAGTGTTCCAAATCTAACATTCTTAGATTATGAATGGATTATTTACGAAATGGTTATAATGTGGCCAGATTTTAGTTTATATACATATGTGGTTATAATGTTTTTCTTCGAAAAGTTAGAACTCCTCCAAAAAGTAGGATTTTAAGTATTCGTAACATATATAGAAAGGAGATTATCTTATTTATTTAAGTAAAAAAATTATGAAAAATGTAAAGATTTTGTAGTTTTGAATTCGAGATTCTTGAACCAAATGTATATATTTTATCATTTAAATATAAACATAAATATAAATATAAATAAAAAGATTGTTTACCCATCCACTAAAGAAAATTTATATAAATGTATATAAAGAAAAATATAAATATAAATATAATAATATAAGATAAACAAAAAATGTATGTTTTTAATTATTAATGTGATATATGGATGTATGAGACTAATAGCAAATTCTGTAAATAGTCTAATAAATCTTGAGTAATTATCTAAATAGAAATCAAATCATTGTGAGAACGACACATCAACGTAGCAATCTTGTTAATAAGACATAATGGTAAGGTTTTTTCTTTTAAATGTTTCTCTATTAATATATAGGGGATTACACTTCGTTTTCAGGGATGGATAAGTACAAATTTTCTTCTTCTTTCTTTTTCACTAACCTGTAACCACTAACTATTTTTTTATATTTACATCCATCTCGAACCAAACCCAATTCCCAAAGAAAGTACAAAAAAGATTTAATTAATTATATAAATTCCCTTTCAAGAGAAAAGGAAGAAAAAACTATGTCCTAATTAGATGATGATTCATCAAGAAGTTGAGGAGCTCCAGAAGATTCAGACCAAAGTCTTTGATTAAACTCCAGTTGCAGATGATCAGGTATAAACTGCGTACGACAAAGTGGACACGTCATCTGATTATAACCCATCATCCAACGGTCCAAACATCCCCGATGGAATATATGTGTACAATTCGTCAGCCGTCGGATCTCGTCGTCTTTCTCGAAATCGTATAGACACACTGCACAACATTCGGATTCGGGTCGGTTTAGATCCGAGAATCTAACAACCGGTAACATCTCACCGGCTAGTATCGCTGCAGACTCGGGTTTGGTCAACGTGGGTGGTGGGTCGGGCCATGAGGTTGAAACCGGTTCAGGTTCTAAGAAATCAGGTAGACCAATGACCTTGAACATTGTGGAGATGAGTTTACGTATCAAACCTAAGAAAGAGAGCAAGTAAAGGAAGATTTTTGGGAGAAGGAGCTCGGAATATCCCACCGGAAAACCCATTGCCTCGCCGTTAGAGAGAGATAAATGATAAGAGATAGAGAGAAAGAAGAGAGGGAGAGAGAATTTGGACTGTGATGATAAGATGGAGAAGGGTGGGATTTATATATATAGTTAGATGTGATTAATTACTTAATTAATGCATTACTAATTTAATAGTCAATGAGGTGCATTTATTTGCGTGTTTTCCTTTGGCATTTTGAGTCTTTAATTATTGTTCTAGATGAAGGATATATAGCCAGGAATGTGTGGTGATGATGTTTCTTTAAGTTATTATAGAGACTAATTGACTTCCTTTTTATTCCTATATAATTTTAATAATTTATTTTTCTGCAGGTCAATTTTTAAAAATATGCATTTACTATATATATATATATATATGTAATAAAAACACATTAATACGTTCAAATTTCCATTTTAAATTTGATTTAAACACTAAAATTCTGTTTTATTTTAACTTTCTTACAATTCTCGATTTATGATGTGGTATTATTGACATCTAGATAACGAATAAAAGTTTCTTTTCAAAAACATGTATTCGTGAAATACACATAATCAACATATTACAAATGAGAATTCATACCTAAGTAAGGTTAAACCGTTAGGGTGTTTCGAAAGTGTCACTCCACTTTAAGAATTGATCTTTGCCTACAAGCCAAACTAGTCAGATTCATAAATTATTAGAATTAAAATAGTCAGACACACGACAAATAATCGAGGTGAAGACAGATTGTTAGGTTCATTTCTTTTCAATTTGTCTGTACCTCTATTGAACTATTGTAAAATATTTTTGGAAGAGAAATTTTTGGTCTACTTGATTTTATTTTCGCCGGGTAAATCATATAGTCTCAAGATTACACCGTACTCTATGAGATTGTAAGTATTTATTTCGGTTTTATTGAATACCCCAATGATACTTATTATGTTTGATAGGATTTGAATTCACATATTATGTTTGTATCTTCAAATCATCCATCACATGACTACTTGAACTATCATCAAGCTACATATTCGCCATTTGCTATTAATTACTAGCATTTTGAGACCTAAATTAATTACGTAGAAAAGTACACATAGCTCTTCAATTTCGCTTTTGATTCCGTTTTTCAAATATACTTCTAGAATACAATATTAGGGGATCTATTTCTAGAGAAAGAGAGAAAGTCTCATGTCATATGGGAATCTGACTGAAATGTATGAAAGAGCCAAAGCAGTACTGACCCACCTCACACACTCTCCATCTCTCCTCCAACATTTCACATTCCTACATTTAACGCTTTTTCTTTGTTGCAACTACAACTATAAACATTAATATATATATGTCAAAATTTTAATGCATTTATGTGAATTAAGCAACATTACATTGGATAAATTTACCCAATTAATTGGATTTTGTATGTTTAGTCCAATATATTTTTGTTTGTCAACATTTAAGATGTACTTTGGAGAACTTGAATCCACCACACGGTAATTGGTAAAAGATGGAAGAGAACAAAAATCATTAGGCTATTTGTCTATCACCTACGTTTAATTAGATCAAGTTTATCACAAAGTCATGTATATATGTGAGTAATATAATTGGAAACAGGGGTTAGGGAATAACTAATTAGTCTAATACTATCACTAACTGTCAGTTTTTGGCGTTACTAGAGAGTAGATATATCCAGCGATGATTAATCCCTTTTGTCTGGAGTCTGGACAATTAATATAACTACAAAATCAGATGAAGAATATTGAGAAAATAATTAGAGACAAACTGTTCAATTTTCATATCATTTGGTAAATGTATTATTTTAGAGCAATGCTCAAAATATTTTTTACACAGGTTTTTACGGTGGAAATTATACTGAGTAAGGACTATCGTGGATGTAAATACGCATCAATAAAGATTTGACGGTCTCTTATAGGATGGTAATTTAAATGCTTTATTCAATTATTATAGATTTTATCGTATTAAGTTATAAGTTTTTTCCGTTTTGATTTTCAAACTTTTATTTCCACTTATTTTCAATGGTTACGTTAAAGCATTTTGTCTTACTTAGTATAATTATCGTTAGAGATTTTATATTTTTGAAAATGAAAGCATATTTATAATTTCAATGTATATTTGTACCAAGATACCTAATTTATCCTAATAAAAAATTGTATATTTGTTTTGGTTATGTACGGATTACTGTAGTGACAACATGTTTTGCTTTTGTTATTCGTTGCAGGATTTAAAATTATTATAAGAAAGAGATACAATAAAAAAATATAACAAGAATTTTGCTTTAAGTTAAAAAAAAGTAGAGTTAAACATCTTTAAGTTAAAAATTGTCTGCTAATTCAACGGAAAACTACAAAATTTATTCCAGTTTTGCATGTCAGACACTGTCGTTTTGTCAGTAAGCGACCAACTAATCACTCCCATTATTTTAAACAACCAGCTAAACCATAATTAGTACTCCCTCTGTTTCTAGAAGATTGATTTTCTAGAAGTTTCACATATTTTAAGAAACAATCATTGTTTAATTATTGATTTTATTTAACATTTCTTAATAAATCATTAACCAATAGTAAACAGTTAATCATTACGTCTTAGAATCTACGATTTATTAATATCAATTAATTAAAAATAAAGAAAAAATCCAGAAAATCAATCTTTGTGGAACAAACCTAAAACACTAGAACATCAAACTTCTAGGAACAGAGGGAGTATATACTGTCTTTCTCTATCAACTTTATTCAATACAACCAATTACACATTAGAACCAAACTTTTAAAAACTCATTAGAGTTTTTAAAATCATATTCTTTCTTTTTTTAGTGTTCAGACTAATTCTGAAAACTCCTAAATTTTAAGCTACTACTAATTTTAAAATAATACTGAGCTTTATATTTTATATTAGTTATGAAAAAAATCAGACTATGTTAAATAATGATTGGTCATGAAGACTGACTTGGACCACGAGGCCTTTTCTTTTTCCTTTTCCCTAGGAATAAAGTTATTATTTTTTTTTTTTTTTGTCATCTATAATTAAATAGTGCTCAAAAGAGTCATTCTTGTGGAATGTTGTTTACATAAGTGATATGAAGCGGTTCCGTACGAATCTTTCGTGCCAGATTATCCGCTTTTACATTTGCACAACGAGAAATTAAAGATAAAGAGAAGGTAGAGAACTCTTCCTTGTCGCTCTGAAATTCCTCCAGATACAGTGAGAAGGCCGACCATTCGGTTGGGGAAGATATCATCTTCACCAGGTCAAAACAGTCTGTAAGGAATAAAGTTATTATAAAATTAGTTTTATTAATGGATCGTCTCTTTCTAATTCTAACAATTTATACAAAAAAAAAAAAAATTATACAAAAAAAATTATATGTCAGACCGTACACTTTGCCTGTGTCGACACACGATAGATGTTTGGCGCGGGCAACTCATACATCTAAATATTAGTAACAACAGTGAAAAACGAATTAGAAAAAAATGCAAGTAGCCAAGAAGTATAGTATATGTTATTATCTATCATTTTTTTTTAATATATTTTTGTTTCTAGAGAATCAGTTTTGTTATAGCTTATAAAAAAAATTAGAATGGAAACGTTTAATTAAACATAGATGGAATGCTAATTTATCTATGTATTATCTAATAACAAGTGTTAATCACCAAAAAAAAAAATCTAATAACAAGTGTTTGTTACCACTGAACTGTCGCAAACAACACAAGTCACAAACTATTAAATAATACTCCCTCCGTTTCAAAATATAAGGCGTTTTAGCTAAAATCACGTCGATTAAGAAGATCTACTTTTTAAAAGTTCAGCCAATCATAAAAGAGATTGCATAATAAAAATAATCATAAAATATTAAAGTAATATATAATTTGCATAGAAACTTGAAAACGACTTATATTTTGAAACAAAAAAATTTCTCCAAAACGCCTTATATTTAGAAACGGAGGGAGTATGTTTGTTGTAGATGTGTTCAAAGTTCAAACACAGTCACCAATTAAATTTCTAATTTTGAGTCCGAATTTTAATGTATACTATTTTAGAAGTAAGATAAGAACAGACAGTAAAAGATCTAAAAAGAAAGAACTTTGACAAAAAAAAAAAATCTAAAAAGAAAGAAAGAAAAAGAGAGTTAATACAAGAAGAATATGAAATAGTAGTACAAAGACAGCTAATACAAGAACTGAAGCAGCGAATCTATTGTCTCCCTCCTCCTTCTCTTCTAGCAGGCAAACTAACGTGCCTTCCATTCACCTCATTCTACGCTTTTTCAATTGGCACTAAACATCCTAATACCATCTTCAATGTATTTCCCTATTTTTAGTTCTATTTATTTAATAGAGATAAATTTTCTCTATTTTTAGGGGGTGAATGGAGACGGTGGATTTCAGAACTGCGGGACGTTTTTCATAGGACCCATTGATATGTTACCAATCAACAAAATATTACAAGTGCGGGACGTTTCTTTTTATTTTTTGGGTTGTGAGTGCGGTTCAATTTTGTTTGTAAATATTGTAGTTGGCCCGCTACAGTAAATTCACATCCTATTTGATGTGTTTGCGTTATGTGGTATCTACAGTCTATAGAGATATGTGTAATTTAAAAAATAGAACTTGTATTAACCATTTATTTAATTATACATGTTATTTTTGGTTTGTTTTATTTCTTTGTCATATTGTTTTTTTCAAATATATGATATATAATATGTTTTTGTATCACCATATTTATTTAAATTATGTTTAAACACTTAAAATATTTATGAAAAACCACATGTATTTAAATAATTAGTTAAAAAATATTCGAAAAATATTTTTCTGTTGTATCATATTGTTTATTATGAAATTTTTTATTTAATATATATATATATATACATATTTGAATGTTTAATTAAAATTATTTAACTACAATGTATATCCCGCACCGCTTTTTGTTTTTTACCAATCAAACATTATTTCGTACCGCTTATTTACAAAAACCGCATTTGTTCCGCATACCGCACGTACCGCAGTTGAACCGTACCGCACTGTCATACCGCTTTCTCCGCACAACAAAAACCGCGGTTACCATTCGGACCCTTACTCCAATGTGTTCCTTTATTTTTTCCTCTAAAAAGTTTAACTCTATTTTTAGAGGAAAAAATAGAGATTCTCTATTCTCACCTCTATATATAGAGAAAAAAATAGAGATCTCTATTTTAGAGGTGAGAATAGAGGTGGATTGGAGTAAATTTGCCTCTAAAATAGAGTTTAGAGGCAAATATAGAAGTGGATTGAAGATGCTCTAATATATAAATATTTAGATATTCCTATTTTTAACTAAATTCTTTTTGTTTTTACTTTTTCTCTTTTGGCATCCAGAAACAGATTTGTTGTTTCATTTCATGTATAATAACAAGACTTATAAATTTATTTAGCTGAAAAACTATATTTGCCAATCACTAAAACTTAGTAAAGAAATTATAACCGAAGAGTTTGGAAATTATAAAAAAACAATGAGTTAGACTTTTGTGTCATTCATTAATATTTATAAGATATTTTGTTGTCAAGCTAACTATTACTATAGTATATTAGTGGAATCGATGAATGGTTGATATACGTTTTAGTGGAATCGATTATCTTAACTCTGTCTACGCAAAGTGACAAATTACTTTTGCATTAAACCATATTCTTATCGCCCACCAAACATGTAATTTTTTTTAATAATGACCTGACCAAATAATTTTTTAATCTGTAATGTTGGTTGTTAATTTCACCTGTGTCCTTTAGAAAAATAAAAAGCTTCATTTCTTGTCTCTCTTTTTTTTCACGTTATTCTTCTTCTTTCTTCAAAATCAAATTCTCACTTTTTGATATATTAAAATTTTTAAATCACTTGTTGACATAATATATATTATGTCACATGACTGAATTGGGCTATTCGTTAGACATACCATATGAATAAAACTGGGCCAGAAGATATGGGTATTAATACTCCATGTAATTCAGCCCATGAGGCTTTGAGTCCAAGGTTCAAGTTAGTATCACTGTCAATTCAAATGTTTGTTTCTTTTTTCTTGCTAAAAAGTTAATAACATATATGAAAGTTTAGGTGTTACAAAAGAAAACCAAACAGGAATGTTCCTTGCCAAAAAAATAATAAAAAACAAGGAACATTTACAGATTTAAGCTTAAGAGTAGGGAAAGACTGGATCCACTAGTGGAGCCACATTGCCATGAGGTTTTTGAACTTCTATCGAGTCCTCCTGGCAGTTATAGAGTTAATGATTTGGTGGTCAATATCTCTGAAAATAGTGAGCGGCGGAACTTCAACTTGGTTATGAATGAGGTTATTTCTCTGCTTCCATATATTATAGACAAGGGCATGAGTTAACAGCAGCCGAAGGGTATATGGAGAGGAAACGCTGCCTGCCTTTGCCCAAGATAACAAGGCTGACCAACTGGTGAAGACAGTAGATGGTTGGCTTATCCTGCACAAAATGGAGTCCCAAATGACAAGAGAGAAACGACAATACAGAAACAAATGATCCTAGGTCTTCTCTGTAGCAGCACAGAAAGAGCAACGGTTTGTAACCTATAAACCCCAAGAAGCTAGGCGAGACAGAGTAGGTAACCTGTCAAGATTGGCAACCCAAAAATTGAACGCGTGCCTGGGAGTAGAGCCTTTAAACCAAACAGAATCTGCCCAGTCCTTAGCTGACTCTCTCGGCCTTAAAGCCTCCCACGTTTTACTTGAGGAATACTTACTAATAGGCTTGTCATCAAAATAAAAAAAGTCATATGCTGTAGAGGAGCTGGGAAGATTGATAGTTGATAAGAAGATGTGAAGATTCACCGCCTGAGCAGATCGTGGCGGAGCAAGAACCCAACCTAACCGGTTACAAGCCTCACTAACCCTAGCATTGAGCGGGATTCGCAAGCTTCTCGGACCCTCGTCACCCAAGTGATTGATAAGAGAACCAAAGGGTGTCCAATTGTCGTGCCAAAACCAAGCCGTCGTACCACTGCCAATAGTACAGCTGATGAACTTTCGGGCGAGACCTCTAAGCTTAAGCAAAACCTTCCAGAACCAAGAGTCACTAATCTTTTGCTTAACTTCCCAAAAGCTATAAGAATCCAGCTTATGGTGGTGGTGTTGCCAAGCGACCCATAAGGATCCACTGTTGGAGAAAAGGAGCCAAATTAATCTGAGACATAACTTGGCGTTCCAAACAGAGAATCTTTTGAAGCCAAGGCCGCCTTCATTCATTGGTAGGCAGCAAGTTGACCAAGCTACTTTAGCTTTTGTATGCGTCTCAATGCTCCCAGACCACAAAAATCTTGAACACAAAGACTCAATTTTTCTGATACACCCTTTAGGTAGCATAAAAGTAGACATCCAAAAGTTCACTGTGCCATAAATTACTGAAGAAATTAGTTGAGCTCTCCCAGCAAAAGATAGCGATTTAACAGCCCAAATTTTAAAAATTTATTCTGATTGGAAACATCATAGCGGTACACATAATAAATAATATTAAGAATTTAGAAATAAAGAAAAAATTATATAGAAATATACTTTAGTATATAATTACATATGAAAATTAAGATTATATAGAATGAACAATATTTTATTGTTAGAATGATAATATGAATTTATTAGTCCTATAATAAATAAAATTTTCTTTATTTTGAGCAATATAACATTTCAAAATAATTGTTTGAGAAAAAAACCATTATTTCTAATGAGATTTTTTCATAGGCTGTATCATTTACTTTTTCGGAGATCTTTATCTGAACATTCGAGATTTTTTTTTGCATTATACATAGTTACAATTATATTTTATAAAGTTTAATTATGCGGTTAATAATACGGTTAACCGTGCGGCTAATCGTACTGTTAAATAACGGTTTTGATACGTTTCTGGTATATTAACGGTTATGGTTAGTATATTTTTTTAACCGTAACTAATTTAGTTTTACGGTGAATGGTTATGATTTTTAACCGTTTTATACAGTTACGGTTAAAAAACGGTCTAGTTACGATCCAAAATACGGTTATGGTTAGCTTTTGGTCATGCTTACTAGGCATGACCAAAAGCTAACCGTAACCATATGTTGTACCGTAACCGGACCGTTTCTCAACCGTAACCGTATAAAATGGTTAAAAACCGTAACCGTAAAAATAATTAGTTACAGTTAAAAAATATATTAACCGTAACCGTTAATTAACGGTAAACATATGAAAACCGTTATATAACTATATGATTAACCGCATAGTTAAAACTTTAAAATATAATTGTAACTCCATATAATGCAAAAAAAATTATCGAATATTCAGATTAAGATTTTCAAAAATGTAAATGATACTGCATATGAAAAAATCTACGTTATAAAAAATGGTATTTTTCTCAAACAAATATGTTATACTGTTATTTTGCTCGAAATGAAGAAAATTTGGTTTGTAACATATTTTTTGATTTTATGAAAAGTATTATAATAAGTTAGGTAACTCGTAAGATTTCGCCTCCGATATTAACCGTATTGTAGTCATCAAATAACTATAACAATAATTATCCGTAACCATTGTAACCGTAACCGTATTTAACCGTAACCGTTATAACCGTATTTAACCGTAACTGTTATAACTGTATTTAATCGTAACAGTATTTAACCGTAACCGTATTAATTTATTTTTGTTTTTGTCCAAAAAAATAGTTTTTTTTTTTTTATAGTGTACCGTTTTTCATAAAATTTTTGTGATAACTGTCAAAGCTGTACAAAAGTACAGCTTTAAAATTGGTTACCGATCATAGCCATTACATCCCTTTCTTTGATTTATTCGTTGATTGATATCAAGAACTTTTAAAGTCAAATTATAACCAATCATTATCAAACCCAAAACAAACATTTAATACGATTAACTCTAACAAAAAATTATTATGAGATTGGAATAAAACAAAAAGAATTCATGTTGGTGAAAGAATGATTGTCTCCACACAGTATATACAAGCACCAAAATAAAAGTCGTCATCACAATGTCGTGCGTGGCTCATGATTCATTTTGGGCTTTGGCCCACACTACAAACAAAATCCGTTGAAATTTGTACTCGCTTCTTGACAAGATAAACAGTTTACTTTTTGCCTCTCCAAAAATATCTTTTATTTGTAATAACAAACTAAATTTTTTAATTTTTAACCCAACTAAAACCAAACTTTAATTGTATATTTTTTTTATAAAATCAATAGAACCAAAAGTAAAAGCTCTATGGAACTGCTCACACATAATTAAATATTCAAATTTTAATGTGATAATGATTAATTCGAGAAACAATGAGCATCTTTGTTAGTACCAAAGCTCTATAATATTAATATCCACAGCGATAACGATAAACCCATCGTTAAAAAAAAAAAATCACGAAAAGTATAATATATACACATTTTATATAAATAAAATAAAAAGCTGCACTAAATTCTAAACGTTGTGCATTTATCACTCCTGGCACTGTCGATGCCTCATGGCATCAATTACAATCACGAGACTCACAACAACTCGGGTTCTCGGGTCCGGTTTAAAGTTCCGGTTTTTGACCCGTAAACCCGACCCTGTTTCCGTCTTCTCCTCAACGGTTATGCTTCTTCTGAAGTGATATCACCGCTCTCACTCTCGTCTAGTCGTCTGCACCCGAATTTTCAACCCGACCCGACTCCGAGTTTGTTTTCGGATCCGGAAGGATCTCCACCGGTCATGGATTACTCTACGGCTACGACGACGGCGGCGAATGGCTACAGCTCGCCGCGTGACTCTTCTTTCCCTTCGAGTTTCACTAAGTTCAACTCCGCTTTAACGGCGGGTCTTTTGAATCCGATGTCTCCTCCGCTGCCTCCGGCGATGCTCGACAAGACACGATCAAGTCCGACGCTGTTCGAAATGATGGCTAGTGAAGCTGATACCATAGGGAAAGTTCCGGTTCAGATCCATAACGGCGTGCTTCCATCTCCGTCGTCGTCTTCATCGTCTTCTTCGGCGGCTGCTACGGCTGCGAGGACGACGAATGTGACTCATCTCGTCATTTCAGCTCAGGATAAGCAAGCGCTTGCGATGCAAAGGATTTCGGATCTTCTGGTGATTCGGAGCCCCGGCAATCAGTTCAATGATCCGAATTCGAGTGATGTGAAGCTGACTCTGAGCTCTAAAGATGGGATTAGTATCACCATGTGTGTGCATAGGCAGATTCTTGTAGCTCACAGTAGATTTTTCGCTATGAAATTGTCGGATCGATGGTCTAAGCAGCAGTTGCCACCGTCGTCTTCTCCGTACATTGTTGAGATCTCAGATTGTGATGACGTTGAGGTGTATATTGAGACGTTGATGCTGATGTATTGTAGAGATCTAAGGAAGAAGATGATGAGGCAGGACGTTTCTAGGGTTCTTGGTATTTTGAAGGTATTGTGAGAAAGACTCAAAAGTCTCCATTTTTTAACTGTTTGTATGCAAATTAAGGGATCAGCTGGTGTTCAATATTTGCAATCACATTGTCAATTTCAATTTGCCATTGTTGTTCTCTCAGGTTTCAGCAGCAATTGGGTTTGATGCTGGAGTACTTTCATGTCTGGAGTACTTGGAAGCAGCACCATGGTCAGAAGATGAAGAATACAGGATTGCTTCGTTGTTGTCTGAGCTACACCTTGAGAACGTTGGGGCGACGGAAGTTTTGAGAAGGGTTTCTGTAGAAGCTAGCAATGGGAGTAACGGGAGTAACGGTGGGAGCAACGATGAGGTGCTTTTGAATCTTTTGCATATTGTTCTTGAGGGAAAAGATGAGAAAGCGAGGCGTGACATGAAAACCCTTGTTTCCAAAATGCTTAGAGAGAACTCGTCTGGAAATGATCTTAGGAAAGAGTCGTTGTACTTGGCTTGTGACGGGTGTTTGCATAAGCTTAAGCGGCAGTTTCTGCAAGCAGCAGAGTCGGATTTGGAGAATGTAGATCAGATAGCAAGACAAGCAGATAATCTGCATTGGATTTTGGATATTTTGATAGATAGACAAATCGCAGAGGATTTTATTGTGATGTGGGCTTCTCTCTCTGAGCTATCCGAGGTGCATTCTAAGGTCCCTGTTGTTCACAGGTTTGAGATTAGCAGAGTAACAGCAAGGATCTTTGTTGGAATTGGAAAGGGACAAATTCTGACACCGAAAGAAGTGAGGTGTTTGCTGTTGAGGAATTGGTTGACACCTTTCTATGATGATTTTGGGTGGATGAGGAGAGCTTCGAAAGGGCTTGATAGGTATTTAATCGAGGACGGTTTAAGCAATACCATTCTGACTCTTCCTCTTGCTTGGCAACAAGAGTTTTTCCTAGCTTGGTTTGATCGGTTCTTGAACTCTAATGAAGACTGTCCTAATATCCAGAGAGGGTTCGAAGTTTGGTGGAGACGGGCGTTCTGGAGACGGAAAGAACAGAGTCAAGAGCCTCCCCGGCTAAGGGTCACAGCTTCAGCCACTGATAACTCCTAAGAGATCTCTCAGGTCTGTTTAACCTTGTGTTTATTCCCCAGCCACCTTTGCGCTGTTTCTTGAGGATCACACAATGAGAAGAATATGAATCTTAATCCAAAAGTGAAGGCAATGATGAATGGAGGTGTGTAAGATTTATCGGATTTTAATACCTCGACCGCGGTTAGAATTAGTATGATACAAGTTTTGCATGAACTTGATCGTTTGGAAGTAGTTTTCATTTTGATGACTCGGAGCACCTTTTTGTACATCTGTCTTAATTTTACTGAATCTCCAATGTGTCTTAGAAGAAGGATCTTTCTAGTTAAGCACGTCTCTATGCTCTCTACTTGTGGTACGGTTTTGATTCTGATTCTAATCTTGGTCAGTTTAGCACACAATATATTAGGGACGGCTTAAACGTAGCATACATCATCGGAGATGAAGGTTGTTTGAGAACAGTGGATTTTGGGGAATCTCTACACGCACGATGTAAAATTGTGTGTTCTGATCTTCGGTTCTATGCAAATTGTCGTGCAAACCAGATTATAATTTATGAATAATAAAGAAAAAGGTTCTAAAATATAACAATTACATTTTCTTGTTTTACACGTAAGGGATTAGACATTTGAACTATGAATGTGATTCTATATTTTTACTAAACGATGCCATTGTTGGCTTGCTGTTTATCTGCAACATCAATAATTGTAACCCAAAACGACATTGTTCTTCTAGCCATTGATGCCACATTTCGATTCTGTAAATGTCCATTGATGCGCAGTCTCAAGGAACGCAAGGCTCAGTTCTTGCTTACACACCAAGGTATCAGGTCTTCTCTCGACGCTAATGTCTTCGTCCGACAACACTTTGCTCAGTTTTATACATCAAGAACAGTGGTATCTAAAACAAAATCAAAGGGTTAAGAAAGATTTGAATGTGCCAAGCTCTTAGTTGATCTATTTGGGAAGTATATTTGAATTTATGCAAAGAATTACTAAGTATATGAGTTTGATTAAACTAAGCTCCCCTGTCCAGAGCTTCCTGCTTATCACTTTCTATAGTAGAGTAACTATGGATTATCTTACAATGAAGTAAATGTTATACCTCTTTGATCTTGGTTGTTATCCACTTAGATGGTTGTTACAGTCTAAAGCTCATGATTCTTGGAACTCAATACGATCTCAACCAACTGAATGTTTCCACTAAGTAAAGAAGCCTTGTAGGAGGGCAAGAATGAGAAGCCATCTAGAAGTTTAACGCACTTTAGGCCCCATTTTACCATCAGGAACTCGATTAGATGATGCCCACTGCAAAATCAAAACTGAACAAATGAAATCCGGAAGAAATCGTCACCCTAAATCTGTTGCGGATATATATAATATAATAGACGAGCGGGAAGAACGAAAGAATAAGAAATGTGTACCTCCTGTTATGATATGTGGTAATAAAAACTGCATCAGGAGAACTTTGGAGCAGAAACGAGACAGTCGCAAAGAGATCATCAAATGCTTAACAACAGAGAGGTCCAAGTTTAGATTTCAACTCATTCACAAGGGGAAAAGAAAAGGCCAATACCCAAAAATAAAAATGAAACTAACCACTTGAATCATATAAAACATCAGCCCCAAGTATAATGTTAGGTCGCAGGTCGAATATCGGTGCATCCCAGACTCCCCAGGTGAGACCCATCACCTGCAATAGACAACCACAAAGAAGTTATAGAAGCAAACTCTACAGAATTTCAAATGTAAATAGCAATCCGAACCCAAGCATATATCTACAGGGGGAATTACATATGCAACATATAATGATTCGATCTGGGTAATATGATAAATTCAGCCAGTATAAAATTGAAGAACAAAGTGAAGAAGAGTATACATTACATTACAGTTCAGCTTGTTAAGCTCACAGACTCTTCTCATATTGTCCAAAACCTGCATATATATGATACCAAAATAACAAATAAACTCATATTCTCTAAACCAAATAAAAAAAATGCTTTTCAGCACAATAACTTAAATTTCACACCTCTGGTTTACTTGCATCATCAGTAAGTGTGACATTAGCCCCAACCTTTGCAGCTACTAAACCAGGCAAGGAAGTACCAGCTCCTAGCTGCAAAGAAATTTCATCAACACAAGTCTAAGAAAATGTTAAAAAAATTTTAAGATTCATTAGCTCAAACACATAGTACAATCACACAAATCTTAATTCTGTAATCAATTCAAAATCAAGGGTTTTTAGCAAAGAGTGGTTGCTAAGAAATTAACCTCAAGAACCGAAGAATGGCGAAATCGAGATCTCTGTTGCCAAACATACTCAGCGAGGATAACGCTACAAGGCCAAACAAACAATCCATACTCTTCCTTCAAATTCTACACACACAAAAGTTCACAAACAAACGATGAAAAACAAAACGCGAAAGAAGAAGCTCGATTATAAATCGCCATTGTTCGTGAGTCAGACCTTAATACCTCAATAACAGATATAGAAATTGAAGTTTCCGAATCTCCATCACCATAGAAATCATGCTGGGAAATCGTCGTCGTCGTTGTCATATTCAAGATTTGAAAATGTTCTCCGCGAAGAGTTAATTAGGGTTTTTAAAAAACTGAAGAAGAGAAATTTGAAATTGTAAGTTGTCCCACATCGGTTAGTAGAGAAGGGAAGGATATGATTAGTTGGCTATAAAACGGATCAGAGGTTGAAATTAAAAAATATGATCCTTCAGGCAAGTTAAAGGGGAAATGAGGAGTGGTTAAAAAACTCGCTTAATGCGAGAAGAGTGTTTCGCTCAGCCTGTTACGACAAATGAGCACTCTCCTTCTTTTATCATTTTAAATTAAAGTGCCTTTTTTGCTCCCTTTTTTTTTTGTTCTTTTCTTCTTTTGTTAAAAAAAAAATAGACTCATAAAAAGTTATTCAAGTTTTTTAGTTTCCGTAATTATTTTTTCGTTGAATTATTATTATTTTTTTTTCGCCTTGAATGCATTTTGATAAAAAGAGTCATACAAAACAAACATAAAAAGGGAAAACCCAACAAAGTAATTTAGTAAGTGCTTTTTACATAAAATTGGGGACGAAGGGATGAAGCCGGATGGAAGATGCGGACATGACCACCGAGATTATTGGCTATTTAAGCTTTTTCAAAATCTATTATCTATTCGACAACCGATGTTTCAAAAAGAAGCAAAGAGCGATTTCAAATTTGTCGCGTTTGATGTTAAGTGCTGAAAGGTTGGACCTGCAAGTGTTTGTTATAATTGATTTGTGAGATGTGGAATCCTAGGGATAAACACGGGATAGTGTAAGACAGTAAAATTTCATTCAAGATCCAAAACGTCCCTACCAAACTTGTAAACAATCAAATGAGTAGGAAAATGCTACATTAAGCCATAGAGGTTTCAAGACTCGTTAAGTTCTCAAACAGAGCTATCAACTTGAGACCATAACCTACAGGAACGGCCAAAGATTGGATGTTCATAGATAATTGACAGATGTATGATTATAATTTTTAGGAAGTTACAACCACATAACTAAAGAAAACCGGATGTTCAATACACTTTCATAAATTGAAGACAATCTAAGCTATATATCACAGCAGATTCAATAGATTGTAACTAAACCATTAAGGAGTTCCTTTCTAGATGACACGAAACACAGAACAAGTACCAAAGGACGGAGACTATACCCTGAAAGCAGGCTGATATCTAGGAACTCCTCAGTATCCATCTCTGTCACCAAACCTCCTCTCTCCCTCAAAACGAAGCGGACCACTGCAGAACAATAATAAAAGCCACAAAAACACTTACATATATTCACAGACCCAGATGAACACATAATAGCTTTTCCTAATATGTATAAACCTTTATCAATACGGTAACAGAAATGTACTCCCATCATATTGGATATAATATAAGAAAGGAAGGTACACTAATAATGACATCAAAGATTAATTACCGTGGGCGGTCGCCAGGTGGGACTCCCATTGGTTGGCCAAGAGGCTTCTGCTGCTTCTTCAAGGTGGCTGGAAGTTAATGCCTTCATTGATAAAAGTAACCAGTACTAATACATCCAAGCAAAAGTCTCTCTCACATACTCCTTTGACTTAAAGCTTAATCATCTGCAAAAATTCAGAACACTCACGATCAAGGGATGTTGTGGCAAATTAGCATACAAAACTCCCTCTAAGCAAAAAGAAACCAACAAACAAAAGTAACATTTCTAAGTAATCATAGTGAATCACATTGTTCTTCCTAACTATGTTCGAAGTAAGAAAGGCATTTGGAGACTCAAACAGCTAATGTTAAAACAATGGGCTAAGTACCAAGTGATTCAGAATATCTAAATACATATATACTGATATACATGTTAAATTTGGGCTAATTCTGGGCTTCCAACTAAAAACCAATTGGCAATTAGTGGATTGGCCCTAACCCTTTATATATTATTGATTGTCCCATCAAACTTCCGATGTGGGACTTGGATTGTATCTCCAACAATCTCCCCTTCAATCCAAGGACCACATGGATCTTAACACACCTCCTCGATCCCTCACTCGGACCGATAATAAGCCCCTTTCTCGGGCCCCCATTACTCGGGTTTGAGGTATGTCCGTATCCACTTTTCTAGGTCCACCAGAATTTGAACCTTGGGCTCTGATACCATGTTAAATTTGGGCTAATTTTGGGCTTCCAACTAAAAACCAATTGGCAATTAGTGGATTGGCCCTAACCCTTTATATATTCTTGATTGTCCCATCAAACTTCCGATGTGGGACTTGGATTGTATCTCCAACAATACAGATCGAAGTAAAACCGACTCTGTAACAAATAAAAAGAGTTGCACCTTTGAAGAGGCAGGTACTTGGAGATCTCGCAGGGATTCTTCTCTGAAATAACAGAGGAAACATAGAATTTACATAAATTATTTCTGTTCGAGTTAGTAGCAACGAAAGAATCAAATGGGACAGAGGAAGAACCTACCATAATTCCTAGAGGAGATTGCTCTCGTGCCGTCGTGCGTGTGTGTGAGTGGCGCTTCCGTCCTCCGTGTCTCCAATCGCCGAAGCCTTGGAATATAATGAGTTTTGAGATGATTTTTGTGAATTTTGGTGAATTAGGGAATTTGATATCAAAACTCTCCCAAATCCCACCTAAAACCATAGGATTTGGATATCTGAATTATTTTGGGAAAATTAGAAATAAAGGATGTTTTGAAATAGATTTGTCCATCTAAATCCATTTTTACTAAATTGTCTCTTAGGACTAAATTACCCTTAAAAGTGGATAAATCTAATTTAAGGAAATTTTAAGAAATTTTTTTTTAGAAAAACGTGTTGACAAGTAATAATGAAGAAGAGTTAAAGAAGAAATTTTGCGATTTCGTCGAAAATTGGTAGTTTTTGAGATAGTTGAAATTTGTTCTAAAATATTTAGAAAACGTTTTCTAACTTTTGTGTAAGTTCTAAAAAATTTAGATTATGTGTTCTACACATTGTACATGTTCTACGCGTTTTAGAATTGACTTATGTTCTAAAAAATTCAGAATTCCAAATTTGATATATTCTATGAAATTTAGAATATGAATTCTACATTTTACTCTATTTCTACAAAATTTAGAATATATATTCTACGGATTACTCTATGTTCTACAATTTTTATAATATGCATTCTACACTTTACTATATTTCTACATAATGTAGATTATATGTTCTACTAAAATTAGAAAATACATTCTAAGTAATTCAAAATTCCATAAAAATAGAAATCGAGAAGAAAAAAATAAGGAAACAAAATCTACAAATATGGAAATCGAATATATGAAATTATTATTTTTAATTATGTCCTACAAAAATTAGACCACGTATTTTGAAAATTTTAGAATCAGGAGGGGTTATTGGTTCATAGATTTATATGGAATTAGAAATCCAAACAAAAATCATTTGTTATTCAATCATTGATTTTAAAATCCTAATTAAATTCATGTGTTATTGATTCTATGATTTATAAATACTAGTTAAAATCTTATGTTATTCGTTTAGTCATTTGTTTTTGGATTTGAGAATCCAAATTATGTTTTAAATGGAATTGAATGGAATTGAAAGAGAAAAATAGAAGGATTCAAATCCATGGGTAAACACATGTTATTTCAAAATCCATATATCTTGATTTCATAATTAATAGAAATTTTCAAATTTTATATGGATTTACAAATTAACAAACTAATAACACCCCCTCAATTAAATATTGAAAACGTTTTCCCCTGGTAAAACCTAGGTTCAGAACGAAATTTTGACATATTCTCTTCTTCTTCCTTATCAAAACGCATTTTTTCTTACTTTTGATTTTTGAATTAACCGAAAACGAACCCCAAAAACTTATATTATATGTTGTGTGGTAAATAATCAATTTAAGAATCAATTTTTCTCAAGGATTCCAAATGATACGTTACTCTACAGTTTGGGCTTACCATCACGATGTAGTATACTTTCTTCTGCGGGACAAGGAGTTTATCACAGAGCCAAGTGTTCTTAGATGTTCTGTTTAGAAGACCTTAATCATAGTCTAAATTCCAATAAATATAGAAAATGGCACCTGAAAAAAGAAGGAGAAAATGGTTTTTGTAAAATATATATATTTTTTTTGGGTAAAAGAAAGACTCTTTTTGAATGAGAAGTTTTGGACTATGTTCGATCATTATGGAATTGAGGTTATAATTGAGTTTTTTAGTTTTAATAAACCTAATTGACCAAATCTTATTTTTTTTTTGGTAGGCGAGCGGGAAGCAATGCCTCCCACCATTTATTCAAACGAAAGAAAAAGAAAACTAAACACGAACACTTCTTGGGCGCGCAGTCCCATTAGCATCCTCTAACAGAATTAAACTCAACTCGTCAACCCGAGTCGGAAACAAATGAAGACCTAAAGGTAATGTAAACGCATAGTTAGCTAACCCATCCGCAAGACGGTTAGCCTCCCTATACACGTGAGCAATACGGACTATCCAGTCCCTTGATATGAAGCCATGGCACAATTGTACCAGGAACGACAGAGGGTGCGTGTCACTTATCCCTCTCTGAAGAAACCCTACCACAATCTCGGAGTCCACTTCTAGCTCTAGTCGCGTGATGCCTTGCTCCCGAGCTATATACAAACCATAATACACACCCCATAATTCCGCTAGTGGAGCCGAACAAATGCCGATATTCAACGCGAACCCTCCCCGCCAAACACCGGAACCATCCCTCAACACCCCTCCAGCCGATGCTAGACCGGGATTACCGCGTGAAGCACCATCCGTATTGACCAAATCTTATTAAAAAGGTATAGATGGACATTTTTGATCAAAAATATCCTTTATTTCTAATTTTCCCAATTTTTAACTAAGATGTTCTCTGAAATTTCACCAAAAATCACTCAAGTCATTTCAAATCCACAACTTAAAATATTTCCAATAACAGTGGATTTGATTATAGATTTTAAAATTACTAATTCAATAACACTTGATTTTAAAATTTTTTTTCAAATTCATGTTTGAATAACATAAGATTTATCTTTTTAATACAAATCATTTCAAATACACCCCCTAAGTTACTTTTGTTAAAGAAGTCTTGCGAAATTAACTGGGCTTACACATAAACGGCTTTTTGGCCCATAATAATAAGCCCATATGTTTTGAGCTTCAATCTGACATGATAAAACGGAGAATGGCCACGTCATCAGTTTCCGGATTCTATCGTCTTCTTCCCCAAAACGGCAAAACCGAGAGATCGAAGCAGAGGAAGAGCCAACTCCAACAATCTGCGCGTTTTTCGCCTTCGAGATTCTCGACTTCTTTGGAGACACAGATTACTCCATTTGAAATATCATCAATATTAGTTTCATCTACAAAGGCTTCTTCGCTGGGTTGAAACTCAATGTCCTCTCCAAACACTTGGTCTGATCCAGATCCATAGCTCCATGCGAGGCTATCTTCTTCAAACACTTGATCTGATCCAGATTCATAGCTCCATCCGAGGCCCTCTTCTTCAAACACTTGGTCTGATCCAGATTCATAGCTATTTTCCATGCTCTCGTCGGTCAAGATCTTGGCGCCACATTCAATAATGTCGAACTCTTGGAATTCCCTGCTGAATTTGAACACCATCTTTCTACTCACGTCAGAGGGTTCGTTAAATGGGAAGCGAGAGCGAAATATAAATAGATGTTCCCTTCGACATGTGGAGACATAACGACTGTCTACTAAGACTACGCCCTCAACGGGATTCAAGTCCCATCCGCCTATGGGTCTATGCAATAGTCCTTCTGTGAATTGCTGTTTAGGGGAAAACAGGACGCAAACCACAAAGCGGCTGTAGGACCTGTGAACGTTTGGAGGAATGGTCAATGAATTTCCTTTGGCACGGTGATCAAACACTGCAGGCATTTCTCTTCCTGGTAAGAGCGCGTCTACGAGAAAAAACGATTGTTGGATACTTGCTCTTAGTGCTTCTTGGCACAATTTGAAGCAGTTGGTGAAATCGATGCGCGTATTTGGAGTGTTCATAGGGCAAAATACGGTCTCTAGTGATTCACAGTCTCTTGCCATTAGGGAACTGAGCGAACCAGGGAGCTCTGGTAATGATGCGAGTTTTCTGCATTCAGATAGATCAAGGGTTTCTAGCCGATGAAGATCTTTGATGCAATCTGGAATCCTTTCAATATCTGTACCCCTTAGGTTTAGTGTTCTTAAACTCGTGGGGAGATGTGATAATCCCTTGAAGTTTCTATTTCTTGTTATATGGAGAAACTCAAGACGAGAGCAAAGCCCAATTGATGCGGGCAAGTATTCCACCTCTGTGTCTGAGATATAGAGGTTGGTAATGTTCGTTGACATAAGTGGAATATTTCTCAAACTTGAGCATCCTGCCATGGAGACTTGTTCAAGGGATGCCAAGTTCATGTGAGCTGGAATGACTTCTATGCTTATGCAGCTATTCATCAATAACCTATGCAGTTTATGAAGATGCGAAAAAGAGGATGGAATCGCTTCCAAACTCTCGCAGCGTAAAAGACTCAATTCCTCCAGATTTGTAGCATACGTAAGATCTGGGAGTTTCTTCAAATTCCGGGACAATGCCAAATTAATCTTCTTGAGATTTGTAAGGACCTAAACGTAACAATCAAAAGAAAGAGAAGAACATCATATTACATAAATAGAAAATACATATTCATATGTTTTAAGTGTAACACCAACCTCTCTTCCTTCCCAAAGCTTCTCGAGCTTGCTATTCTCAAAATTGAGTTCGACAAGATATTCAGGATGAAATGTGGGATGAAGACTCTTTCTTGGGTACTCCTCCCAATCTAGTAACCTTAGACGGTGGGGAAACTCCATCCCCTCAGGTATATGCACTCTATCATTGCCATCAACTCTACTTTTATAGACTCTGAGGAATCGAAGATTAGGCATTCTTTGAAAAGCCTTCTTGCTTATAGATACTTCATTGATACCAGATATATCAAATGATATGCCGGACATAGCTCTAGTACCCTAAACCAATATATCAAATAAGAAGAAATTGTTAGCACAATGGGTAGGATTTGCTTACCTTCACCAAATGCCTAATTTAAAGTTAAAATTAATGAACAAAGAAGATAAAAAATACAAGAGAAAAAACTTACTGTGGCACGTTCAAGAACATCACAAATGTCTGGAGCATCTAATAAGATCTTGCGTTTCCAAGGCTCTTGTTTATGAATGGCTTTTTTACCCACTTGTTGTAGTAATCTGTGCATCATTATTCTTCCATCGTACGTAGATATCTCTACGAGAGATCTGTTTACAAGGATTTTCAATCCGTGTTTGACATCCAAGTCACTCTCAGCAAACATGGTTTTCATATGATCACCATCTTTATGGTTGAAGAAGACTGCAATATGGAGAAACAGAGATTGCTCATTCTCATCTAAACTCTCATAACCGATTCTTAGTACTTCCTCGATATCTTGATTAAGATTAGTTTCTAGCTTGTGTATTACTTGTTCCCACTCCTCCTCATTCTTACCACGTAAAGATGAACCCACCACACAGAGACCCAATGGAAGATTACAACAAAGCTCTATTACTCTTTTAGCAAGCTTTTTAAAACCATGATAAAGAGAGTTTTTTCTAAAAGCATATTTACATAAGATCTTGATAGCGTCTTCATCAGATGGAAACCCCACATGGTACATATTATCGATACCATGTTGCTGCAACAGCTCTTTGTTCTCTGTGGTAACTACAATCCTACTTCCAGGACCAAACCATGTAGTTTCATTTGCCAACGCCATTAATTGCTTTATATTGTTCACATCATCGAGAATGATGAGGACTCTCTGCTTGCATAGCCTTTCTTCTATCACGCCGGAATGGCGTATCCTAAGACCATCTTGGTTCAAAAGATTTGAGAGAAATTGTTCTTGTAAACGCACCACATCAAGACCATTATAATAGCTTCCCCTAAGGTTGTCCACAAAACAAGTAAGCTGAAACTTATTAGAGAGTAGAGTTTGTAAAGCTCTCGCAATTGTAGTCTTACCAATCCCTGCAGGACCAGTGATTGCAACCATCTTAACTTCATCATTATCTAAATCTAGCAAAGACTCCATTTTCCTCAAATGAGCCGTAAGTCCCACCATACCATCAAAAACCCTTGACGGTGTAGCATTCAGTTTATCTGAAACATCTTCGGCAATCTTCTTGATCATATTTGCTTCATTGTCCCTAACAATAGAGAGAAAGAAAGGAAAAACACAGTTTCCATCAAATAGTCACATAGATAAAACATTCCTCTGTTCCCTATAGTGTTTCATATATTCATTCAACAAAAACATTCCCTAAATCATTTAAGCTCCTTTTATTTTAATTTATCGTATCCATCATAATGTAACACAATCAACTTAATAGAAACCTAAGAAATAAAAACTCAGATATGAACTAAAGACCAACCATCGGTTGAAGTCTTCTCCAGCAATATTGCCCACTTCATTCAAAGCTTCACTCCATTTTTTCCTTTCCTCGTCCGTCTTATGTGCACATGTTTCATCGAAAGCGATCCCGAATTCCCCGAGCTGTTTCCGCACATCAGAAGGATCCGCTCCGTAGAAGATGGTCATCACTATTTGTCCCATAACTTTTTTGCACTCCAATATCTCCACCAATTCATCCAAACACCAGCTTGAAGAAGCATATTTCTTAGAGAGAATCACGATCGAGATCCTTGAATCCCTTATACCTCCGATGAGAGAAGGGGCGATCGTTGCACTTCTCTCAATCTTTTCATCATCGAACATAGTGATCCCGTTGCGGTTAAACTGTTTACGCATGTGACTGAGAAGTGTTTTACGGACGTCAGGCCCGTGGAAGCTCGCGAAGACATTGAAGTTGTAATTGCGAGGCGGAAAAGAGGAAGGAGAAGCCATGAGAGACATGCTCAGAGAGATGGAGAAGTGGAAGATAAGTAAAATCTAATATCTCACGTCAATGACTTTTCAGAAATTAAGCTATACAAGTTACAAATTATATAAAAAAGGATTCGTCGATGTATCGAGGCAAAACGCGTTGACTTATGGGAGGAGAATTTAAGTATATAGATGTTGTTCTTAACTCTTAAGTGGTGGTGTCTTTTAAATTTGTGAAAGAATTAGAAAGTAAAAGAATGATTAATCTTACAGCTGTATTAGGATAAGCCATATATGATCTACCATTAACGGTTGACCTGAGAAAGAGTTCTGAAGTAAACGAAATTTTAGAAAATGTAAAAGATGTGTAGCACTTGTAAGTTGTAACTTGTTGTTTTTAAACCGGATCAGGAAGATAATCTGAACGTGAGAATATGTAGTTTAGTTACACTAGTTATATTTATTAGTTAGAGATCAAATCGTATCCATTAATATATTCATTGTCGGCTAACTCGGTGCGATATTGATTAAATAATAATCCATGGTGTACAATCCCACCGGGAAAATATGAATTGCTATATAAGATGGGCATGTGACAAGGCATTTTGGTTTTGTTACAAAATTATGAAAAATATTTGAAAAATAAGTAAATAATGTATTAACGTATATGATTCGCCTATGCCGATTAATTGATGTAGACGTTTGGTTCCAACGCTCACCGCTTAACGATTTTTTGAATATTAATTAATACTGCATTTTTATTAAAAAAAAGTTTTCAAAAGTCATACTATCGCCATTTTACATTATGATTTGCGCTTTACTTATTTCCATGGAATGGCTCCAATTCATCATTGTGACTTTAAAGTGGAAAAACGGTCTATTTCCCCTCAGAACTATCGTATCTGGCTAGATACAGCCCGATCTTTGACCTCTGTCTATATACCCATGAAACAGAAGTTAAATGTTTATTTCCACACCAATTGAAAGTTCGAGAGATTAATGTCTATGAATCCTGGTTTCGTCGGTTTAGTGCGTAAACCACACAAACCTAATATAACCAAACTAAAAACTGGTTGACCTATAACCCGACCCAATCTAAAACCCCACCCGACTGACCCATTTATTCTTCTTCTTCCCCTCTCCCTTCTTCTCCTAACCTGCAACAATTCTCTACTCTTCTTACTCAGCCGCGTTTATGAATCTAAGGACGCGACGTAACATAATCTCACGATTCAAGAAATTCGTTTGTGCCCATTTGCTATTTAATTAATCTATGTCTCTATCTCTTTCTCTTCCCTCTCTCTCTGTTTCTATCACGTTCCCAATCTCAATCAAGGCTTTTTCTATTTTCATTTCAGTTTCTGGGAATTTTTGATTCATGACAAAATTGAGTACTAGAAGCCTAGAATTCATGAGAAAGCATTGAAAGTTTGTGAAGATGATGAAGCAAACCGGAAAAGAACCCACTCCGCCAGCAAATTTCATTCAACGTCGGAGCCATCACCATTATTCAACGCCGGAGCTTCAAAACCCGATTCAATTCGGGTGGTATTAGGTTCACTCATCCACATACCCGGATCATTCTCTCCTTTATCTGGTTTCAAATTAAACAAAGCTTGCTCGAATTCGACATAGAGCCCACGAACTTTATCACCTCATCCGTTATTTGAAATTGAAAAAAGTATGAAATTTATCAAAACATCACCAGCGCCGATGAAAGAACCAATTCCCTCTCGGCCTCTCCAGTCACAATCACGCATAGCCGGAGGAGAGAGATTTCTCGATTTGATCCCACCGATGGGATGGAGTTTAGGAAGACGGAGAGGCGTTGGTGGGCAATACAGAGAGAGGATGAGATTTGGAGGAGCTGCTTTTGTCCACATTGGTTTCGATTTGCTGCGCCATTAGAGTCGCTTCCAGCGATGATATTAGCTCAGGAAAAATTTGGTGAAGAAGAAGAAGTTGGGTCGGTTGGGTTTTGTAGGGTTGGATTTGTGGTTAACTAGTTGAAATTGCTGGTTCTAATTAGGTATAATCGGTTAAAGCATCGGTTTGGTATACAATAAACCAATTAAACCCAGCGCTATGGGGTTTTAAATCTCGAACTTAGGATTCATGGACATTAATCTCTCGAACTTTCAATTGGTGTGGAAATAAACATTTAACTTCCGTTTCATGGGTATATAGACAGAGGTCAAAGATCGGGCTTTATCTGGCCAGATACGATAGTTGTCGGGGGGAAATAGACCGTTTTTCCCTTTAAAGTCGATAATATTGGAATATGAGAGGAAAGGACAAAAAAAACGAGAATTGTAAGAGATGTCCGGGCGGCGCGGAATAAGCGAATTGGATGAAACGGTGCAGTTCAAATGTGGTTTGAAAAGAAGAAACACAGTATGCATAATAAGTGCGGTTAGTATAAAAAAATGGTTCACAATAATGTTTGAATGGTGAAAAAGTAAAATATGATACGAATATAATAGTTATCAAATTTTAACTAATTTTCTAACATTCCAAAAATAATTTTTTTTGAGTATATTTCAGTTGATTAAATGAATTTGCACAATTTTTTTAATTAAAAAACAATTACTTTTGAAATGAAACACACCTAATCACCCCTAAATTTAGGCTCCGAATGAAGACGGAACCGTACGGTGAGATGCGGTTCTGATAAGAACGAAAATATCTGCATATATGTATATGTATATATTTTTATTATTATTAGAACTGCACCACACTTTATCCGTATGTGAATCGTGCGTCTCTATTTAGAGCCTTAGGATTCGAATGGTTGTGGTGGTTAGAGCGAACAAATCCGTTTATGGTTTAAACCGCTTTTTATTTATCATTTATAAACTATAATCCATAGTAATGCGGATTGGAAAAAATAGAATAAATCCGTGATAGATTAACAACAATTTGCTTTTAGATAGAAATAAACTCGGCCTACGACGATTTGTTGTCTAAAAATAAAATAATTTAATCCCTTAGTAATTTAGTCCAATTTACCCACATTATATCCATTCAAAACGTTAGTTGGAAAAAAAAACATACAGTAGATTGCACTTTTATTTGTAGGCCCAACTTTAGCCCATATGTCACCTAGAAGGACTCAACGCAATGGATTAAGCCGATGGCCACGTCGTCTTCGTCGTCTTACCCAACACAAGCAAGATCCAAAGTCTTCAACACTCTTTTCTTCTGTTAAATCACAGATTTCACCATCTGTACGGTCCTCACTGCTTCAACTACACATGGTCCGGATTTGGTCGTCTTCTTCCTGAAATCAAGCTTCCGACCTTTCTCACAATTTGGGAGAGGTCGAAGCAGAGAAAGAGCCAACTCCAACAATCTGTTGTGTGTTTCCCCCCTTCGAGATACTCATCTTCTTTGTAGTCACCGTGTTCGATTCCGTCTTCAGAGGCTTCGCTGGATTCAAACTCAATTTCGTCTTCGCTGGATGCAAACTCAATGTCGTCTTCGCTGGATGCAAACTCAATGTCGTCTTGGTATAATCCAAATTCATAGTCCCACTCGTCCGTCAAGATCTGGACACCACATTCAATAATGTCTAAGTCTTGTAGTTCGCTGCTGAATTCAAACACTCTCTCCCTGTTTACATCAGAAGGATCGATAAATAGCGAGCGATGGTGAATGATAAATATACACAAATGTTCCCTTCGAAATTTGTGGACTCCTCCTACGACTATCGAGTTCTCAGCGGGGTATAAGCCGCCTTTAGCTATGTGACGACACAATAACCGGTTAGAGTGAGGAAGACCATATTCTTGTTGTTGAGCGGAAATCACGACGCAGACCTTAAATCTGGTGAGAGCATAAAGAGGATTGTTACCATTGGAAGGAATAGTCAAGGAATTTCCATTGGCACGGTGATCGAACTCTGCAGGCACTTGTCTTCCTGGTAAGAGTGTGCCTAGTCCTGGAGAAAAAGATTGTTGGATAATTGCTTTTCGTGCTTGTTGGTCCAATTTGAAGCAGTTGGTGAAATCGAGGCGCGCATTCGGAGTGTTCAAAGGGCAAAATACGGTCACCAGTGATTCACAATCATCTGCAAATAGAAATTGAAGCGAACCAGGGAGCTCTGGCAATGATGTCAGTCTTCTGCAGCTTGATATCATTAATATTTGTAGTTGATGAAGAGCTTTGATGCAATCTGGAATCTTTTCGATACCAGAGTATCTTACATCTAGGTATGTGACACTCTTGGGGAGATGTGTTAAGCTTTTGAGCTTTACACTGCGGCTTAGATCGAGAGCCCTGAGACGAGAGCAAAGTTTGATTAATGGAGGTTCATCTTCAACTGCTGTCTCTGTGATATACAGTCCTTCGATGTTTGTTGACATTACTGGAATGTCTCTCAGTCTGAAGCATCCGACCATAGAGACATGTACAAGCGATACTAAGTTCATGTGAGCTGGAATGATTTGTAGGTTTATGCATTTAGTTAGTACCAATATCTCCAGATTTGTAGCATTTGAAAGATCTGGGAGTTCCTTCAAGTTAGATGACCCTAATAAATCCATCTTTTTGAGATTTTTAAGCGCCTGAATGTAAAAACAACACAACAAAAGAGATATAATCAAACATCATATAACATGTAGAGAAAATATACATATAAAGTTCCAACACCAACCTGGGTTCCTTGCCATAGGTATTCGAACTGGCTTTCCCGCATATTGAGTTCGACAAGATATTCAGGATGAAATGTTGGAGGAAGACTCTTTCTTGGGTATGCCTCCCAATGTAACAACCTTAGACGGCGTGGGAATTCCATCTTCTCTGGTATATGCATTTTAGCATCTCTTGTTTGGTAAACTCTGAGGAATTGAAGATTTGGCATTCTTTTAAGAGCTCTTTCGCTGATAGATACTTCATCGATATCAGATCTATCAAATGATATCCCAGACACAGCTCTAGTACCCTAAACCAATATTCCAAAGAAGAAGTTAGCACAATATGTAGGATTTGTTTTGTCTCCACCAAGTATAATTAACAAGAAGTCAAACAAAGAGAAAAGAAAGAGATATTACTGTTTCATTTTCGAGGACATCACATATCTCATGAGGATCCATTAAGATTTGACGTTTCCAAGGCTCTTGTTTATGAATGGTTTGTCTAGCAACTTGTTGTAGTAATTTGTGCATCACTATATTCCCAGTGAGACTACAATTGTTTATGAGAGACCTATTGACTAGGATCTTCAAACCGCGTTTGACATCCAAGTTACCGTCATCGAACATGGCTTTCACAATATCACCATCTTCATTGTTGAAGAACACTGCAATGTGGAGAAATAGGGTCTGCTCATTCTCATCTAAACCGTCATAGCCGACTCGTAGTACGTCCTCGATATCCCGATCAAGAATAGTTTCTAACCTACTTATTACATCTTCCCATTCGTCCTCGTTCTTCCCACGTAAAGATAAACCCACCACACGTAGTGCCAACGGAAGCTTACCACAAAGCTCTGTTATTCTTTCAGCGAGCACCTTAAAACCATGATGTGGAGAGGTTTGTCGAAAAGCATACCTGCATAAGATCAGGAGAGCTTCTTGTCTAGATGGGAAACCCACATGGTATGTATTATTGATACCATGTTGCTGCAAAAGCTCTCGATTTTCTGTGGTAACTACAATCCTACTTCCAGGACCAAACCATGTAGTTTCGTTAGCCAAAGCCTCCAATTGCTTTAGATTGTTCACATCGTCAAGAATAATAAACACTTTCTGGTCGCTTAGATTTTCTTTTATTGCACCTAAATGGCATATCTTCATACCATTTTGGTTCAAAACCTTTGAAAGAAATTGTTCTTGTAAATGTAGCTTTAAACCATACTCATCAAAACCGCTATTATAGTTTACCCTAAGGTTGTCCACAAAACAAGCAAGTTGAAACTTATTCGAGAGTTGATTATGTAAAGCTCTAGCTAAGGTTGTCTTACCAATCCCAGCAGGACCAGAGATTGCAACTATCATAACTCCATCATTATCTAAATCTAGCAAAGCCTCCATTTCTCTCAAATGAGCCTCAAGTCCCACCATGCCATCAAAATCTCTAGACGGTGTAGCATTTAGCTTATCTAAAACATCTCTTGCAATCTTCTCGATCATTATCGCTTCATTGTCCCTAACAAAATAAATAAAGAAAAGAAAACACTTTTTCTATCAAACGAATAGTCATGAGAAAAAAAACACATTAGATGTAATATCTCAAATATAATTCAGTTTAATAAACTTACAAACTACAATTTAATTAAGAAAAACAAACCAGTTTAACTAAAAACAAACCAGTTTTGCAAGTGTTCTCCGGCTATGTTGCCAACATCGTTCAAAGCTTGGATCCATCTTCGCCTCTCCTCCTCTGTTTTACCAGCACAAGTTTCATCGAAAGCGATACCAAATTCTCCAGTCTGTTTTCGTACATCCGATGGATCTACTCCATAGAAGACAGTCATCACGATCTGTCCCACGTCTTCCTTGCACTCCAAAATCTCCACCAATTCGTTTAAGCACCAGCCCGAGGACGCATAGTTCTTTGAGAGCACCACGATCGAGATCCTCGATTCCTTAATAGCTCGTGTAAGAGCATAGGCGATGGTTTGGCTTCTCTCGATCCCTTGGTCATCGAACATGGTAATCCCATTGTAGTTAAACTGTTTGCGTAAGTGACTCAGAAATGTCTTACGGACGTCTGGCCCATGGAAGCTCGTGAAGACACGGTATCGCCACGTGCGAGACAAAGAAGAAGAAGAAGCCATGAGAATGAGGATCGTGAGTGGTTCAAAATGTGCGTATTAAAGGTTTAATATCTTAATGTGTGTTGATAAGCCTTTTATGGAGTAGAAATATTGCAAGCAGGTCTTGTTGAGCGAGATGGGAAGATTCTTAGCCTTTTCAACGAAATTTCAAAGGTGTGAATAATTATTACGAACAACAATAGAGAAGGAAAAAATATTTATGTTAATGTGTTTTTGGAAAGACTTTCGAAACTTATAGGAAGTTTCCTATTGCACTCATTTTTCATTTTATTTGAAAGTCTCACATCAGGCAGAAAGATTAATCTAGTATATATTAGTTAAAGGATTTTAGAGTCACAAAGACTTTATTTGTTAAAGGATTTTAGAGTCACACCGACTTTCGAAAACTTATAGGAATTTTCCTAATGCCTTCTCACATTTGAAAGATTTGAGCTTTTCACATTCAAAGTTCTTGGAACGTTAAACCAAAACAAAAAAGTGTTCTTGAAGTGACTAATAGAGTAATAGGTAAGATTTCGAGAAGGGAAAGAAAAAATTAAAATGTTGCAAAGGGAACAGAATGTTTACAAAAACGTCTAAACCAATATTCGACTGGTCTTTAAGTTTTCAATCTTTAGACTGAGTTAGAAGGCCAATGTTTATAGTTGAAAAACTGATGAGAAGGGTTTTGTTTATTTTCAGAATTTATTTCCTCCGATCAAAGCTTAAATTTCTAGGCATTTGTACAAAAAGAAAAATGAGAAAAAGACCCAATCTATAGTAGACTCACACAAAGACTTGAAAACAGGTGAAGTTAGCTAAAGTCTTAAAGAGTCTTGAAAGCTTATAGGAAACTACAAAATCGTTTCCTTCCTATAGCCTTTTCACATTTGAATGATTCAAGGTTTTGCTCCAAATGTTTGCAATGGCTTTTAAAGAAAACGAAAGAGATTACACATTGCTTCTCACTTACTATAAGCCTCTTCCAATCCTTGATAACGCAGAAACTTCAAGTCAAGAACCACCTCATATTGCAAATTGGGTAGACAACTATGCGTCTTAATTGGGCCTAAACACACACAAAAAAACAAAAACAATTAGGCCCATTGGATTGGGAAGTGGCCACGTCATCAGCTTCGTTGCTTGGGGACTATATCGTCGTCTTCCCCAAACCCTGTGCTTGAGAATATTGAGAGAGATCGAAGCAAAGGATCATTCAAATCCAACACTCTGAATCTTCTTCATCTTTCCCATCTGAAATTCTCGTTTCTTTCACTGCTTCTAGTGTCTAATTCTTTAAACTCTTCCTCGATTCATACTCATAGCTCTCGTTAGCTAATTTCTCATGATCTTCTTCCATCGCTCTGTATTCTAATCCAGATTCGTATGCTCTCATCTCTATTTCATTCAATTTCACTCATCCAGATTCGACCATTACCTCTATCTCTCTACTCATCAATCACTTCAAAGGTATTGTTCTTCTTCTTCAAACAAGTAAGAGTGACTTGAGAGTCTGATGATTCCTTGGGGTGGAGTTACTTGCTGCCTCAGCGCCGCCGCTCTTTATCTTCTCGGTCGGAGTAGTGGCAGGTTTGTGATTCTTTTCGTACTATTGATCTCTCTTTTGATTTCATCTCTCCCAAATGGTGGATTATCAATCAAATCCTTTCTTATCCTTTGAGTGTAGGGATGCTGAAGTACTCAAAACTGTCACTAGGGTTAATCAGCTCAAGGAGTTAGGTAATCTTCTTCTCCACTGATTACTTCATCTACTCTCAGAATGATTTCTTGATCCTGTTTTTGGATTGCTCTGTTTTTGTAGCTCAATTGCTAGAATTAGATAGCAAGATTCTGCCTTTCATTGTTGCGGTATCAGGAAGAGTCGGCTCTGAGACACCTATCAAGTGTGAGCATAGTGGCATTCGCGGTGTTATTGTTGAAGAAACGGTATGTTGTAGACTGATGATTAGGCATGGAACTTTGTTTGTTTTCGCTGGTATGTGAAACTTTAGTAATTGCATGATTCTTTCAGGCTGAACAACATTTTCTGAAACATAATGAGACGGGTTCTTGGGTGCAAGATAGTGCATTGATGTTATCAATGAGCAAGGAGGTTCCTTGGTTTCTGGTAAGCCTAATGTAATAGCGTAGTGTTTGGAACAGCTGTGATTGGATGTTTCATAATACCATTTACAAATTTCAAAACTGTTTGCGATAGGACGATGGGACAAGTCGTGTCCATGTAATGGGAGCTCGTGGTGCAACGGGTTTTGCCTTGACTGTTGGAAGTGAAGTATTTGAAGAGTCAGGACGCTCGCTTGTACGAGGAACACTTGATTATCTTCAAGGACTTAAGGTTTTTACTTTTCTTTCCGGTTCTTTATTTGTTGGCATCTCTATTTGCTTAAGCGGCCATTGTTTTGTTTCAGATGCTTGGAGTTAAGCGGATTGAGCGTGTTCTTCCAACTGGAATACCACTAACAATTGTTGGTGAGGTATGTCGTATTCTCAGTGTTTTCGTGTCATCTCTTTTTCTTAAGTTGTAACTGTTGATAGATATACATAGCACACTAACTCCTTCAACAGTCTGGTATTTGCCTCTTCAAGTTTTCTCAAAATTCCTTTAAAAGCAATATTTGTAGGAGGCGGGATTGATCTTTTTATAGAGGCATACGGATGAGTTTAACTCTAAATTTGTGTTGCTGCCATGTATGACAGGCTGTCAAGGACGATATTGGCGAATTCAGGATTCAAAAACCTGACAGGGGGCCTTTCTACGTCTCACCTAAATCACTCGATCAACTCATTTCTAATTTGGGAAAATGGTCAAGGTCGTGTCTCTTTCCTCTCTGGGTTCTTCTCCTATACTCTTGTAGAAAACGGCGATGAGCCAAACTGATTGATAAGAGTATAATTTACAGGTGGTACAAATATGCCTCTATGGGTTTTACTGTTTTTGGTGTGTTCCTAATTACGAAGCATGTCATTGATTCTGTTCTAGAGAGAAGACGTCGGAGACAGTTACAAAAAAGGTATGTCACAGATTTGTCTGTCTAAAAGTGAATAACTGTTAATAGATCGGTTTGTTTCTCTCGAAACTATATCCACACAAAATTAAGCAGCCAGCTGTTTTTGCAGAGTGCTTGATGCAGCAGCAAAGAGGGCTGAGCTAGAGAGTGAAGGTAGCCATTGGTAAATCTTTTTATCTACATATAGGTTGCACTGGCTCTGACTACAAATCTCTTCTCACCAGGTTCAAACGGGGCACGTGAGAGCATTGCAGATTCTACCAAGAAAGAAGACGCTGTTCCTGATCTCTGTGTGATATGCCTAGAGCAGGAGTACAACGCTGTGTTTGTTCCGTAAGCATTCTTCCGCCACTTTTGGCTAATTCTGCATTTGCAACTTGCTAAAATGCTTGTGGTTGGTACTCGCAGGTGTGGTCATATGTGCTGCTGCACTGCATGCTCCTCCCACTTGACCAGCTGTCCACTTTGTCGGAGACGAATAGATCTGGCGGTTAAGACATATCGTCACTGAACAACAACTCAGGCCTCAGAAACATTCTCTACTCGAGTCTTGTCTGTAAATACCGCAAGATGAAAACATTACAGTTTAGGCGTTCAATCTCCCCTTTTATTTGATTTCGAGAACAAAACATTTTGAATTATATAGAAACATAAGGTGTTTACTCGATTTGCAGAACAGTACATTCGTGTTTACTTAACCGTATCGCTGCTAATGCCATGAGGTGTTTGCTCGATTCACGGAATAGATATCATCTTCGTCTTCAGATTCATTGCTCTGATTTGTGTTCTTGTTTGTTTCCTCTGTATTTAACAATCTCGTAGGATGTGCAGCTAAATTCGACCAGTATCTACCCCATTAAGGAATGATTGTTGATTCTCTTTGAAGCAAACATTGAAATTGAGGTGCACATTTGGAGTGTAGAAAGCAAAAGATACACTCTCCAAGTGATTCGTACTCGCATTACATTTAGGCAAATGCGAAGAGGTGTGCGACATATATACATTGGTGCTTGAGACAAATATCAACTATTAAGCTTTTTGACTTGCATAAAGAAGTGCAAATTGCGAAACTACACTCAAGGGGAAAAACAAGGTATCTATCCTTCATAAGCGCATTGACATTTAATTTGCACACACATGATCTTCTTTACATTTCAGAGGAGTAAATCAGAATCGTAGTCGCAAGATTGTGCTAGAATTTAAGAACCTGTGAGATTGTAATATGTTATTTGATCAGGATGATAATAATTGGATGATGAAGATGAGGATGAGGATGGTGATGAGTACAAGTAAACATAAGATAAAAGATAATCTTACATATTTTAAAGGAGTCTAAAACATGCATATAATATAGCTTGAAATCCTTAGTTTGACTTTGATATTCCCATGAAAACTGAAAATTTCGTTGCAGATATACTTCGATTTTATCATTAAGATCTGAACCAGTAGAAAAGAAACATTGGAAAAGAATCCAAACAGATAAATAAATCATGTCACAGTATCCAGGATTTGATATTAAAAATACAGATAAACACAATGAGATCAACTAGAAGTTAAGAAATTACTAAAAAACGACAAGGGAACAGAGTTGAATCAACTTCTGCCGGTTTTGTCCATCAAGATCTGGACACCACATTCAATAATGTCGACTTCATGGGATGAGGTGCTGAATTCGAATGATATCTCGTTGTCCTGCTCAAGCCATCCGTACTTGTCAAGCAATTCAGTGTGGGATATACACAGATGTGCCGTACGAGTATAGAAATATTGAACTATGTTTTCATCAAGAGGGAAACCGTTTATGTGTATGCGACAGAATAAGGGACCGTTCATAAGCTTTCTAGGGGAAACCACGACACACATCCTAAATTCTTTGAAATTTGATCGGATGGTCAAGGAATTACCAATAGCTCGATGATCAAACTCTGCAGGTATTATACTTCCGGGTAGACATGCCAACAATGATTGTTGGGTAATTACTGTCCGTGCTTCTTGGCCCAATTTGAAGCATTCAGGAAAATGGAGATATTCAAATAAAGAGTCAAAAGGAAGAGATACTGTCTCCAGTGATTCACAATTGCTTGCTTGTAGTATTGTGAGTGAGCTAGGGAGCTCTGGCAGTGATACAAGTTTTGGACAGCCAACTATATAAAGCTCTTTTAACCCATGAAGATATTTGATGCAATCTGGAATTTTCTTAATACCTGCGCCACTCTGGTGTGATCCCTCGAGACTGCCTTGTATACGAAGAGTCTGAAGGCGAGACCAAAGCCTAATTGATTCAGGAAATTCTTCTAACATTGTTTCTGTGATAAAGAGTGTTGTGATGTTCGTGGAAATATCTACAAGTTTTCTCAGCTTCCAGCATCCATACATCTCGACTCTTTCAAGAGATGCCAAGTTGAAGTGAGACGGAACAATTTGTAGATTTCTACAGAGACCCACCAGCAACCACTCTAATTTATGAAGATTTCCAATAGAAGAAGGAAGTCTTACCAAACTCTTGCAACTAACCAGAGTCAGTTGCTCAAGATTTGTAGCATTTGAAAGATCCGGGAGTTCCTTTAACTTCCGGGACTCAGTCAGATCCATCTTCTTGAGATTTGTAAGCCGCTGAATGTAAAACGATACAAAAGAGGAAATTTCATCAACACATGATGAGAGACATACTTCAAATATTCGAAGTACGCAAATATAAAAACCAACCTGGGTTCCTTCCCAAAGCTTCTCCAGTTTGTTATGTTGCAATTTGAGTTCCACAAGATATTCCGGACTAAACGTACGAGGGAGACATTTTCCAGGGTATACGTCCCAGCGTAGTAACCTTAGACGAGGTGGAAAACCCATGTCCTCTGGTACATGCACTCTATCATTTCCATCACATCTTGTCTTGTAAATGTTGAGAAATCGAAGATTACACATTTTTTTAAAAGCTCTTGCGCTTATATACACGCCATCTTGGATTGTGGATATATCAAAAGATATACCCATCACACTTCTACTACCCTAATTAATATTCAAAAAAAAAAGAAGAAAACGTTAGCACAATAGAGTGTTTTTCCAAATGACATGGTTTAGTGGATACATTAAAAAAAAGTTGTAAAGAAAATCTTACAGATCCATTTTCGAGGACATCACAAATCTCATCAGTATCTATTAGGATTTTGCGTATCTTAGGATTTTGTAATTGAACCGCTTCTCTACCCACTTGTTGTAGTAACTTATGCATCACTATATTTCCGTCGTTAGCTATTTGTATAATAGATTTATACGTGAGGGTTTTTAAACCGAGACTGACATCCAAATTACTGTCACTGAGCATTATTTTCACATGATCACCGTCTTGGTAGTTGAAGAAGAATGCAATGAGGAGAAATAGATATTGATCATCCTTATGTAAAGTGTCGTATCCGACTCTAAGTACTCCATTGATCTGTTGATCAAGGCTATTTTCTAGCCTATGCAATATACCTTCCCAGTCACCTTCCTTCTTTCCGCGTAAAGTTGAACCCATGACACGGAGACCCAGAGGAAGGTTACTACAAAGCTCTGTTACTCTTTCGGCAAGCTGTACAAAACCACATGGTGCTAAGCTCCGTCTAAAAGCATATCTACAAAATATTTTACAAGCTTCTTCTTTAGTTGGAAAATCTACATGGTATGTATTCTTGATATCATGTTGCTCCAGAATTTCTTGATCTTCTGTGGTTACGATAATCCTGCTTCCAGGACCAAACCAGTTAGTTTCATTAGCCAAAGCCTCAAGTTGCTTCAGATCATCCACGTCATCAAGAATGATAAAACACTTTTTGGTCGCATAGTCTTTCCGGTACTGCACCTAAATGGTATATCCTCATACCATTCTGGTTTAAAATTTTGGAGAGAAGTTGCTCTTGTAATTGCAGCTTCAAACCATACTCGTCAAGACCACCATTGTAGCTTCCCCTAAGATTCTCCATAAAACAAGTGAGCTGGAAACTGCTAGAGAGTCGGCTATGTAAAGCTCTGGCGATGGTCGTCTTACCAATGCCTGCAGGGCCACAGATTCCAAGAATCATAGCTTCATCCTCCAAATCTACAATGTAACAAAGACTGTATCTTCTTCAAGTGTGCTTCCAGTCCCACCATGTCTTCAAAATCCCTAGCAGGTGTAGCGTTTAGTTTGTTTGAAACATCCCTAGCAATCTTTTCAATCATCTTCGATTCATTATCCCTAATAAGAGAAATAAATCACCATGTTCATTCAGAAAAAATTGCGCATATCATATTGAGAAAGAGAAAATCCCAAATTAATGGAATGTAAACAAACAAACCAGTTTAGGAAGTGTTCTCCGGCTATGTTGCCCACATCATTCAAAGCTTGGCTCCATTTTCGCCTCTCCTCCTCTGTTTTACGAGCACAAGTTTCATTGAAAGCCATACCAAATTCTCCTGTCTGTTTCCGCACATCAGATGGATTTACTCCGTAGAAGACAGTCATCACTATTTGTCCCATATCTTCCTTGCACTTCAAAATCTCCAACAGCTCATCCAGACACCAGCTGGAAGAAGCATAATTCTTTGATAGTAAGACTATAGAGATCCTCGATTCCCTGATCCCTTGTGTAAGTTCTGGGGAAATGGTTTGACCTCTCTCGATCCCTTGATCATCAAACATGGTGATCCCATTACAGATAAACTCTTTTCGTAAATGGCTGAGAAAGGTTTTACGGACGTCTGGTCCGTGGAAGCTCGTGAAGACGCGGTATCTCCACGTGCGAGACGAAGAAGAAGAAGAAGAAGCCATGAGGTTTGAGTAGCGAGAAATGTTGAAGATCGGATATACAAAAATTGTCTATGGATTCACCATTGACTTTTTTGTTTGTCTTATTTGACTTCTTCCATGACACAAAGACACACAACCAATATATTATCTCAAGTTTATATTAGATTATATATTTTACGTTTTAGGAGAGGTGCTGGTAATCTTATCCCCTAAGTTTAATAAGTATCATTCTTTATAACAAGTTTTGCAGAATGAAAAAATGTCCATGCCCGGTGACGGCACATTCTCTCTCAAAAAGTCAAAAGCTTTCTTGCTAACAAACACTTCCCACGGTGTTCTTGCATCTCCAGCAATTCGTTCAAGCACTAGTCCGACAAAGCATAATTCTTCAAGAGAATCACAATTGAAATCTCTAATTCTTTTTTAGCTCATGTGAAGGGAGATCTAATTATGGCTTCGATCAACCTTGAACATCAAACATCAAACATCATGATACCATTGAGATAGGGCTAAAAGAAAAAAGATAAACTATTTGCGTAAGTGACTGAAGGATGTTTTGCGGATATACAAAGAAGAAGAAAAGATAGGCTAAAAGAAAAAGTAACAAAATCACATACTTCACAATGTATTTTAACTGGAAAGCTATATTAAGACAAACACGTAATGACTAATAGAAGCAACTTCAAAAGATATAAAGTTTCTTGATTTGTCTTCTTGATAATTGCAGAATTTGTCTTGTATATCAGATAAAATAAAGTACTAATTATGTATGAATTCCTATATTTTAGCTTAGCACATACTTACAATTATATACATTCGTCAATATATCTTAATTAAAGATCATAAAACTAAACTAAACCACTATCGGGGTTCTTAAGAAAAAAATTCAAATTTTGTAAAACAATACATATATCTTTTTGTTTGGTTACAATACATGGTTTTACAATACATAATTAAAGATCATAAATGTTTATTTTTACAAAGCCCCCCATGAGGGTTTTTAGCATTTTTTACGTATAAATTTAGCATTTCTCGAACTTAAAAACTTGCATAAGAATTCTTAACTTTTGTGGCTTCGAATGGTTAATTCCACTATTGGGGTTCTTATGAAAAAGATTCAAATTTTGTAAAACAATACATATATCTTTTTGTTTGGTTACAATACATGGTTGCACGGAGACATTAATTCAAAGTTACAGAGAAATGGATCAAAAACTGATTCATTAGAAAACTCAACAATGCTCTTCTTCTTCTTCTTCCTCCTTTGATTCAGCTGCTCCCTAATATGTCTTTGTATGTGTTCTTGACCTTCTCAAACAAAGCCTCCCTGAAACAGATACCAAACCATTTTCTCGAGAATTTGAGTCTTATACTCTCAATACTACATGAAACCAAACACAGGCTTAAGCATTATACTCTCAATACTACATGAAAGCAATCCATTTCTGATATCATATCTCTATATTAATACACTAAATTGCAGAGGTTCGGTCCTAAATCCAAAAGTGATGCGATGAATCATCTATATCCTCGAAACAGGTTCACTAAAGCTTGGTTCAAGTGATACAAAGACAAGATGGTAGAAGAAGAAACTCACTCCTGTGTAACCGATGCCTACAAGTTCAAGAACACTAGGAACCAATGGAAGCCTATCGATTGAAAACATATGTTCCTCTCCTTACTCCTCCATCAAGCAAAACCGGAATCCTACCTCTAACAACATGCACAACCTGCAGTTTCAGAAGAAGACCAATTTGTACCTAAACAAAACAAGTTTCATAATGTGAATTTCAATTCTCAATGTGTTATACAAAATCAGCCAATCTAACAAACATGTGAACAAAAAAAGATATGATCATAGTTTCGAAGCCTTTGATGATGTTCATATGGTATGTATGGTATGCTGCTTTTAATGTCTTGATTGCTACGCACTCTAAAATCACAGCTGCTCTAACATCCCTATATATAGGGAAAACTAAATTATTGATGTCCATACTAATAGTAAGGGGTAAACAGAAAGTTGAGTACAACAACATCAAATACTCACGTCTTAGGGTGTGATTTAGAAAGCTATATAAAAGAACATCTGAAATCAAAATAAAAAGATACAAATCAGAATGATACCTTGTCAGGCTTTGGGAAGTTATACTCTGAGTTCATCAAACTCATTGCTCCCACCAGAGATATTCTCAACGTCGTCTGCAGACACTTGTTCTGATATAGATTCATAGCTTCTTATTGTTCTGTCGGTTTCAACCGTCAAGATCGGGACACCACATTCAATAATGTCGACTTCTTGGTGTGTGGTGATGATTTCCAACAATATCTCTTTCTCCGGATCTTCGTCAGACAAATCAAATTGAGTTATACATAGATGTTCCCCTCGGATTTCACGGAGACCCGTAAGTATGTGTTGATCAGTGGGGCAACCGTTTATACATATGCGAGACATTGAGTAATGACGAATATGTTCTCCCATCGCTGGTTTAGGCGAAACCACGACACAAATCCTAAATCCAAAGAAACCTGGGCGGAATGTCAAGGAATTTCCTATATCTCGATGATGGAACTCCGCAGGTATTGTTCTTCCGGGTAGGCATGCCAACAATGATTGCTGAGTAATTACTTGTCGTGCTTCTTGACCCAATTTGAAGCAGTTGGGGAAAAAAAGACTAGTAACTTGAGAGTCAATAGGGAAAGATGCAAGGGTCTCCAATGATTCACAAGTGTTTGCTATTAGTGTTTTCAGTGAGCTAGGGATCTCTGGCAGTGATGCAAGTTTTGGACAGCCAAATATCTGAAGAGATTGTAATCTAGGAAGATCTTTGATCCAATCTGGAACTTTCTCAATATCTGCGCGACCGAGAAGTGGATCTTTGACACTGCCGTATATACTGAGATACTGAAGCCGAGACCAAAGCCTAATCGATCTAGGCAATTCTTCTAATATTGTGTCTGCGATTACGAGTGCTCTGATATTCGTGGAAATATCTGGAAATTTTTTCAACTGTGAGCATCCCTTCATGTCGAGATAATCAAGCGATGCCAAGTTGACGAGAGTCGGAACAACTTGTAGATTTATACAGAAACCCATTTTCAACTCTTCTAGTTTATGAAGATTTCCAATATAGGAAGGAAACTCTACCAAACTCGCGCAAAGATGCACATCCAAGCTCTCGAGATTTGTAGCATTTGAAAGGTCTGGGAGTTGCTTTAGATCATAGGAATGTCTCAAATCCATCTTCTTGAGATTTGGAAGGTGCTGAATGTAAAAACAAACACAACAGTAAAAGAACATCAACACATTTATAAGAGAATACATATACTTCATACTTTTTCAAAAAAAAAAAAAAAAAAAAAAAGGAATATATACTTCATACAATCAAAGTAAGAAATTATACATAAACTAACCTGAGATCCTTCCCAAAGCTTCTCGAGCTGGTTATCTGACAATATGAGTTCAACAAGAGATTCTGCATTAAAGTTAGCAGGAAGACTCTTGCTTGGGTATGCCTCCCAATCTAATAACCTTAGAAAACGTGGAAACTCCATCTCCTCTGGTATATACACTACATCATTTCCATCATCTTTACTTTTGTAAACTCTGAGGAATCGAAGATTGGGCATTCTTTTAAAAGCTCCCTTTTTTATAATGACTTCGTTGATTCCTGATGTATCAAATGATATGCCAGACACTTCTCTAGTACCCTAAACCTATATTCCAAATAATAGGAAATTGTTAGTACGATAGGTAGGATTTGCTATCTTCACCAAATGACTTGTTTAATGAGCAAAAAAATATGACACAATACAGGAGGGAAAACTTACTTTGCCACGTTCAAGAACATCACAAATCTCATGAGCATTTACTAAGATCCGGCGTTTCCAAGGTTTTTCTCTTTGAACCGCTTTTGTACCCACTTGTTGCAGTAGTTTGTGCATCACTATTTCTCCATGGTTATATATATATATATGAGAGATCTATTTACTAGGATTTTCAACCCATATTTGACATCCAAGTTCTTGTCAGCCAACATGGCTGTCACAAGATCAACATCTCGATAGTTGAAGAAGACTGAAATGTGGAGAAATAGAGATTGCTCATTCTCATGTAAACTCTCATAACCAACTCTTAGTACTTCCTTGATATCTTGATGATCAAAAATACTGTCTAGCCTGCATATTACTTCTTCCCACTCCTCCTCATTCTTCCCACGTAATGATGAACCAACCACACGGAGAGCCAATGGAAGGTTGCCACAAAGCTCTGTTACTCTTAATGCAAGCTTTTTAAAACCATTATGTGGATAGCTTTTCCTGAAAGCATATCGACATAAGATCTTGAGCGCTTTTTCATCAGATGGAAACCCCACATGGTACGTATTGTTGATACCATGTTGATGCAGAAGCTCTTTGTTTTCTGTTGTCACAATAATCCTACTTCCAGGACCAAACCACGTAGTTTCATTTGCCAACGCCTCTAGTTGCTTCATATGGTTCACATCATCAAGAATGATAAGCACCCTCAGCTTGGATAGCCGTTCTTTTATGGCACCTAAATGGCTTATCCTCAGTCCACTTAGGTCCAAAATATTTGAAAGAAATTTTTCTTGTAAACGCAGCTTCAAACCATAATCATCAAAACCAATGCGGAAGCTTTCCCATTGGATGTCCACAAAACAATTATGTTGAAACCTATTAGAAAGTCGACTATGTAGAGCTCTAGCAATGGTACTCTTACCAATGCCCGCAGGACCGTAGATTCCAACCATTTGAACTCCAACTGAATCTAAATCTAGCAAAGACTCCAATTCTCTCAAATGAGCCTCTAGTCCTACCATGCCATCAAAATCCTTAGACGGTGTCACATTCAGTTGGTTAGAAACATGGTTTGCAATCTCCTCAATCATTTCCGCCTCATTTTTGCTAACAAAAGAAAAAGAAAAAAAAATTAATGTTTAATTATATCCAATATTCCATCAGAAAATAATTATAGAGATAACATTCTTCTTTTCCCAATAATGTACAACATTTCTGATATGCATGATACAAGAGATTACAATACTTATTCAACGAAAACATTTCCTTAAAATCATTTAAGTTCAACATATTCAGAGTAAAACACGTTATTTGCCTTTTTGTCTTGATTTCCACATAAGGGAAGAAAAAAAACTATAAATAGTAAAATGCAAACCAGTTTTTGAAGTCTACTCCTGCTATGTTGGCAGCATCGGTCAAAGCTTGGCTCCATCTTCTGCTCTCCTCCTCCGTTTTACCAGCACAAGTTTTGTTGAAAGCAATCCCAAATTCTCCGGTTTGTTTCCGCACATCAGATGTATCTACTCCGTAGAAGACTGTCATCACTATTTGTCCAATATCTTCCCTGCACTTCAATATCTCCAGTAGCTCATCCAAACACCAGCTGGAAGAAGCATAATTTTTTGAGAGTACGATGATCGAGATCCTCGATTCTCTAATCCCTTGTATGAGTTCAGGGGTAATGGTTTTGCCTCTCTTGATCCCTTGATCATCGAACATCGTGATCCCATTGCAGATAAACTGTTTGCGTATATGACTCAGAAATGTTTTACGGACGTCTTCTCCATGAAAGCTCGCGAAGACGTGGTATGTCCAGTTGCGAAGCGAAGAAGAAGAAGAAGAAGAAGCCATGAGATAGAATGGCGAGAAGATTTTAAGATCACATATACAAAAAAGCAGTAAGGCCAGACGCGAGAGAAGCACATCAGTTTAAAGCCCCGTGACCGACATGTAAATATTAAATTTCAAGGATTCACTCATGAGAAATTCAACTAGGATGCCATGACAATCTCCCTTTCTTTTCATCTGGGCCACTTTACATCTTTTCCATCATGCCATAATAGATACATAAAAAGACTCTTTTACCCTTTGCTTTAGAGAGTTGGAAAATGTTGTGAAGTCAAACGATTTGACATAAAGTCTGAAGACTTCTCTGTTGATTGATGTGTTATGTGTTTACAACCATCTTTGGTGTATCGAAGAAAGAAAAGAAGTTTTCTTTGTGGGCTGGGCGTTTGTTTTTTTGGGTCTGTGTTTGTAAGCAGACCCATCAAAGTGTTCAAGTGTGTTTTACTTTGTCTATGTTTTTTTTGAGTTCCAATGCAAGTGAAGTAGAGTCCTAGGGTGGCTGCAGAGTGTTGTAGGTGCTTGAGTACGTGTGATACTCTCTGGATAAAAAGAGAGAAATTGTTATTGAGAACTATCATGGGAATATGAACAGATAAACGTTTTCGTTCACTATTATTGGAATCTCTGTGATAGAAATGCTCTTTTTTGATATACCTGATCGGCTGATCCGGTCAGCCTCGGTAGAAAAGCACCGGAGTGCTACAGAGAGGACTCACTACCACTCCGAGGGATGGGCTACCACACTGCCTAATCCGAGTTTGGAATGCTTTCCGACTAATGTCCGGGGGTAGCTGGATCGCATGTTACCAGACTACCAGGTAAACTGTCTGGCCGAAGCCCAAGCCCAGATTTCCCAACAAAGTGTTGATAACAGCGAGGGAGGAAGATCGAACCCGGGTTCGGGGTTTTCACCCTCAACGCCGGACTCGCCCTACCACTCGCCCACCACCTTGCAGGCGATAGAAATGCTCTTATTGGGAAATAGTTTTACTTTATATTTTAAACATGCGATTGCAATTTTCCTTAATTCTATTTTATGATGTTTGTTCTATCATTTATGAAAACTTAAGATTTACAGAAAAAAAATTAAAAAAAGAAATATTTCAACTAATTAACTAAAAGAATTATATATAAAAATCAGATAAGAACTCATCTAATTTAGAAGAGAACCTCCCATTGGAGGTGCTCTAAATACTTAGGATCAGCCATGTTTATTTCATGACTTTAGTTTTGGCTCGGATTAAATATCAAGTTATTCTCCTTTCAATGAGTTTTATATAATAAAATTGAAAGAGTAAAAAAAGAAAAATCTGTACAAGAACAATAAAATAGTTAAAGATGATTTCTTATGAAGAAGAAATGAGGAAGAAAGAGATGTTGTACAAGAGGAAAATCTAGTTACTTCATTGATGTTCATTACATGCACACACATACTTATATGAATACATTTTGTTAGAAACCTAACGACATGGGCTAATATATCATAGTCTTGCATTGTCAATGTTGGGTTTTTGGACTTGTGTTTTCGCTTTTTTATGTGTGCTTAACATCCCTCTGCAAACTTGGGATCATATAAACGAAGCCAAGTTTGACAGCACAAACATATAGACTTGATAGGAATATGAACATTCATCAAATGTTCACATGGAGATGTAGAAAGAATTTTAAATTGATTGTTTAATCATGATCTCCATTTGATCTTCAAAACCATATGAGGTCACTTGTTTCTCTAAACTTTCTACTATTCTTTTTTCTCACAGTCTATACTTGTACAGTTTTAGGAACTCTCTCAGAGGTGCGACTGACTTTTCTCTTACTTTCTTCGGATTCTGCTTTATCCACTTTACTCAATTAGTACTATACTTGTAGAGCTATCGTAGCTCTCTTAGAGAGGGTACTTTGCCCATTTGTTTTTACAAACACGCGAGTTCCAGATTTGGATAGACATTTGTAGTTTTCCAAAATCTATCAGCAGTATTCCCATTTTTAAATCACTCACTATTCTTACTACTTTAACTAGTGACACTAATGTAACATTGTCTTAATTTGAGACAGACATCATGTCCCTTTTAACTTTTTTGGAATTTTTAAAAAATCTACCATAACAACACCTGAACACCTATTCCGTTCTAGCTTTGTGACTTCTAAACCTACAAATTTAAACCAGCCAGCATGTCCTTCTCGGCTATTACACATTGTTTAGTCTTTGAAGGAAGAACAGAAACATTACCTTGGAGATAGTGTAGACAAGCTTGGTTTTCACTCCATAATGAATCCATAGTTGTACTTTGACGCGGGTGACCAATGTAATGAAACGGCATTGTCATTTGTCTACGAACGTGGTGAATGCATGGAAAGTAGTATTCATTTGCAACATGGAAGTTGTGCTTGTTTTTTCTCCTTGTTTGATGCAGCGTGATATTTGGAAATATTCCAAATATTTATTGTTATTATCTTTTAATTAATTATTATTATTATTCTAGAATATTCTATAGATTTTAGGGTTTCCTTATGTTTTATTATAAATAAGTCGCTAATGCCTCCTTTTGTAGACAGTTGATTGATTAATAAAATTAAAGAGCTTTTAGCTTTTCAGAGAAGAGTATTCTCTAATCCTTGTTTTCGGTAGATCTCGAGAGATCTCAACGATTATAAGAAGACGTAGGATTCGGTATTCGCGGAGAATCAACGAATTCCTCATGTTCTCTCGTTTCTGGTATTCTGAGGAATCAACAGATCCGAGAAACCCTAGTTTTCCGGTATTCCGAGGAATCAACGGATCTCTAGTTCTATCTTTAAAGCTTCCGCTACTTCATTGTTACATCAAGTTAAGTGTAAAATCATGAGTTAACAAATACCACATACATACAAACATTCTCACCATATCCTCATCAACAATTTAGAACACTCATTATTACAAGATCATATTAAAGTAAACAAAAATCAGAAAATAGACTCTACGGAAAAAGACAAAAAGAAAAAACTAAAGAACATACTTATAAACAAATTAGCGTGAGTTTCTGTGATGCGATAAACATTAAATTAAAATGGAGACGGAAAAGATGAAGATAAGGCAGATGATCCCAAGGTCATTGATGAATCTTGGTTTCCAAGAAGAGATGAACCGTCCATGTTTATGTTAAGGTTGTCCCAGAAGAAAAAGTTAGAGCATTGTTGTGAATCTACCCATTGATCATAGCTTAGGTCTTGCCTCTTTAAACATTCGAAACTTGATGCCATATATCCATCTTGGACATTGCTATTTTCAATTGGGACAATGTTATCCACATTTTCCTCTAGTATCGCCGGTGGATTATAACTTATAGTTGTCTCGATATTTGAATTGGTAGAGTTATTGAACAAATGGGACGCCATTGTAGGAACTTGAAACGGTTCTCGTTGTTCTTGTTGAGGAAGATTCATATCCCATTCTTCTGTGCTAGTTGTTAGAAATGCTTGTTCGCAAATGTTTCCTCTTCCTCCTCTTTGCGTGTCATGATTGTTGTTTTTGTTGTTATTGTTTGTGATGATGTTTTGAGAGAACATTCCTTCTAGGATAGGAAGCGCTGTGTCCACCATGAAGAGAGGAGGTTTATGGGAGAAAAGGGTTTCTTGAATCTTTATATTAGTTTCTTGATCGTTGGCGAAATTTAACTGGTTTACAGAATCCATGAAACCATCAAAATGTAGGTTATCAATAGTGGATGGATTAGTGGTAGAGGTAACGGTAGTGGCAATAGGTGCATCGTCCACGTTCATTGTCACAGTAGTTATTGACGGTTGATGACGATTGTAATGGTGGTGCGGTTTTCGTATCTTTTTCTTAATCCATGAATTCCAATAGTTTTTTATCTCGTTATCCGTTCGTCCGGGTAAATGACTAGCTATATGAGCCCACCTTGAAAAAGACAAAAGAAATTATAATAAGAAAATCTGTATGTATGTAGTATCACATTTTGAGAATGTTCGATCGATTAAGTAACTTAAAGTGTACTACTTTATAGCTCGAGCAAGTAGACAAAAGTAGAACGAGATTAATGAAACTACACGTTAAAGATTCTTTAGTCATCGACAGTAGACTAGTCGTTGCTTCGAACCGTGGCCAAACTAAAATTATAACAATTTAATTTACATCTAGCTATAACATGATAAATTGAATATAACTACAAAATGCATCCCCAACCCAACAAACTTATAACTAAAAATGGTATCAATATTCTTGTGATAATTTCAATAACGCTATATAATAATACACTATATTGAATTATATATCTAGCTATATATAAAAATTAAATTTGAGTTAGTTAGAAACCTGTTTCCCACAACTCCATGAAGACTTATGATCAATTTCTCTTCTTCTGGAGAGAACCTTCCTCTTCTGATATCAGGTCGAAGATAGTTTATCCATCGCAATCTACAACTTTTTCCACATCTTTGAAGCCCTAAATTTTATCAAACATGCATTTTAAATATTGCATTGAATCTATAAGTTAAATAGCACAAGATCATTATAATTGGTTAGAGAAAAAATGTTACTTAAAAACTAATATATAACTAAGATCACCTGCTTTTTCAGGGACTTCACTCCAACATCCATAGCCATGAGTTGTGATATATCTAATAAGCTTCTCATCTTCTTCTGGTGACCAAAGCCCTCTCTTCACCTTTTGCTGGTTGCAGCATGAGTGATGACCCATGATTAGTAGCTCCTCAAATTAACTTAATTATAGTGAATCACAATAATTATCTTAAATTAAATTATATATAAGTATATCACCCTTTAGATTTTTACTCTCTCTCTCTCTCTCTCTCTCTCTCTCTCTCTCTCTCTCTCTCTCTCTCTCTCTCTCTCTCTCTCTCTCTCTCTCTCTCTCTCTCTCTCTCTCTCTCTCTCTCTCTCTCTCTTTCTTTCTTTCTTAGGTTGTGTTTATTTGTGTTCTGCGAGTTTGTAGCTATAGAAGAGAAGACAAAGAAGCAATGGAGAGTTTTTAAAAGGAGAGGAGACAAAGGTCGGGTCGGGTCGGGTCCCAGGGGTGGGGCCTGAGATATTTCTTCATCGATCTAACCTTAAAACGACGTCTCATCGACTTTCTATTTTCATGTGTTATTACTCGTTGTACGTAGAGAGCTTTTGTTGTAGTATTATTACGTTAAGCCCTTATCACTTTTACATGTTTTTCTCTTCACGTACCCTTCTGTCTCCCGCGAAAGTTCCTGTTTTTTTTTTCTTTTCTTATATTCTATAAAACCAAATGATTTTAAGAAGAAAACTAGATTGATACGTAGAACTAATCATCATATATAGACTCGCAGCTCATAAGTCATGAGTAATCATGTATTATGCACTGCTTTCCTCTGTTTCCACATACATAATAAATTAAATCATGTGTCGATTGTGCCGACCCACTTATACGGTATAAACACTAAAACATGTATTTGCGGGTGAATGAATTGCGTTGGATTTTAAAGAAAAAAATATATACATATATTAATATATAACTAATTAATCACATACAATTTAAAAACAAAAAAAAATTATTCACATACTAAAACGCTGTTCATTTATCGTAACACACACTTAATAAAGTAGTACTTTTTTTTTTCTTGTACGGCTGTGGGTACTGGGTCCGGGACCCTGGGTAGTACTTGATGGCTGCAAACCAAAGGAAGATGAAGCCAAATTTAATATAATATTCTTCCATCTTTCTAATATTTTCAGAAGCCCTATCTTCTTTCTTTTTCGAAAAAGTTATCAATGATTCCGAAGCCCTATCTAAGATAAAAATTTTGTGTCTTTAAAAAATATATTTGAATGATGTATTGATTATAATTCTGTTTACAATAACGAGCAATCATAATTTCTAGAAATAACGAAGCTTCGTCGGAGGTCTGCTTCCCGCTTCGGAATCTTAGTCGGAATCGGAAACTCTTGGAAGCTTTCGGAATCTCGCTTCCATAGCGTTTCCAAAAAATTCATTTTGGAAGCTCGTTGGAAGCTTACGATTCTATTTTGGAAGCTTGAGCTTCCTATTTTAAAAATTTGATGTCACAAAATAAATAAGAAATATGAAATTATTTTTGATAGTTTTTAAATACAACAAAAGAAAAACCAAAAGTAACTTTGCATACTAATTTTGTATTTTATTTTTTAAAATATCATATTTAGAAAATGACAGCATTATGGATCATTTATTTGGGAGATGTTGAAATGATTAATTGAATTAGATTAATTTCGAGAAACTTTAGTTTGATGATGTTTTTATCGGTAAAAAAAAATTTAAGATAATTTTATTTGATGGAATTAGTAAAATGAGTATGAAGATAATAATCTTAAATTTTTGACTTTAACTGTACACTATTTGATTTTTAAATATAGAGAGGTATTTAGAATTTATGTATTAGATTTGTGTATTAATTATAATTTTGTTATATGATATAATGTTTAATGTTTATTATTTATGTATGTATATATATATATATATATTAATATATATATATATATATATTAATTTTTATATACGCTTCCAACACGTATCCACTTTCTATAATTTCTATAAAAATCGCTTCTACGTTTCCAAACGCTTCGCTTCCGCGTACCCACTTCTGATTCCATGCAACCTAGGATAGAACTTGTGGATTCTATAGATAGAAAAGAACTTGTGGATACCGTCAGAACATTATTTGAGCTAATATAATTTGGGTGCACAAAAAAAAAAAAAAAAAGAACTTGTGGATTCTATACACAAGGAGTATATTTTAAGTTGATAAAATATTTTTTTCAACGTGATATGATGGTAAGTCATGTAGCCGAATTATAGTGATTTTTGAAATTTAAATATAATAAATAAATAAAAATCTAATTATATTAAGTACGTCCAATACCGAAGCTTTTTCAAAGATATATGGAATAACAATCATTACAAGTTTCGATTACAAGGCTTTGATTTAGTTAGGAGACATATCGGAAGACCTTGCCGAAAATGAAATCGCTTCGTTTAGAAATTTTCTCCTAATTTATTTTCGTATTGACATCTTGTAAAGATAGTCATGCAATACTATATATATAATAATAATAAATAGGGAATTTTGCCAAATGTGCTACATTTTGGGAAAATCCTAGCAAATGTACCACATTTGAAATGGATTTAGCATCCATACCACATTTGGTGTTTGTGTGGCAAATCTTGGACGATTTTGCCCTTCTCTGTGCGTCAGGTATGTGTCAGGGGAAGGAGCTATAATAGACATCGGTTGGGAAACGGGGACAACTTTGTGTCAGAGAAGGACAACTTTGTGTTAGAGAAGGACAATTTTGTCTGAAAGACAACTTTGTCTCAGAGAAAAATGACAAAACATTGCATTAAATGCAGTTTACATTTACCATGGACAATAATTATGAAATAGAGTGAATGATGTCCCCCAAGAATAAATCCAGATCTCTTGATTGTCCATCGCCAGATGATGTGGTTTTACCAGCCAGAGATCTGGATTTACTCGGGGACAACTTCTCTTGATTGTCCATAGCCAGATGATGTGGTTTTACCAGCCAGATGATGTGGTTTTACCAGCCAGAGATCTGGATTTACTCGGAGACAACTTGATCTTTATTTTTTTCCGCCAGATAGCCGAAGACGAAGATCTGGATTTACTCGGGGACAACTTTGTTTTACCAGCCAGAGGGACGAAAACGGTTTACCAGAGGGACGAAAACGGTTACCAATGCGTTAGGAGAGAGACTGTGGACGGCAGAAAATTCGGAGAGTCCCATCAACCGCAGGGTCTTGTCTCAGTAAGTTGGAGGGTATAATCGTCTTTTCACATGATGAATGTGGTATGGATGCTAAGTAGGCTCAGAAAGTGGTACTGGACCTAAACTTTTTGAAAAAATGGTATTGGGGCTAATTTTCCCTAATAAATACCAATTATAATCATATATGTCACATTAGGTTTGTTCTTTTTGACGGCAAGACTTTGTTCGTTCTAACAAAGTAATTGGGTCTGATTGGTAACAAGCTGTTAGCTGTTAGCTGGAACGGTTAGCTGGAGCTGTTAGCTGTTAGGGAATAGTGCAAAGCTGTACAAAAGAATAAAACACGAAAGCTGTACAAAAAAATAACGCAGAACAAATTTTAAAAATTTATTCTGATTAGAAACATCATAGCGGTACACATAATAAATAATATTAAGAATTTAGAAAGAAAGAAAAAATTATATAGAAATATACTTTAGTATATAATTACATATGAAAATTAAGATTATATAGAATGAACAATATTTTATTGTTAGAATAATAATATGAATTTACTAGTCCTATAATAAATAAAATTTTCTTTATTTTGAGCAATATAACATTCTAAAATAATTGTTTGAGAAAAAAACCATTATTTCTAATGAGATTTTTTCATAGGCTGTATTATTTACTTTTTCAGAAATCTTTATCTGAACATTCGAGACTTTTTTTTTTTGCATTATACATAGTTACAATTATATTTTATAAAGTTTAATTATGCGGTTAATAATACGGTTAACCGTGCGGCTAATCGTACTGTTAAATAACGGTTTTGATACGTTTCCGGTATATTAACGGTTACGGTTAGTATATATTTTTTAACCATAACTAATTTAGTTTTACGGTGAATGGTTATGGTTTTTAACCGTTTTATACAGTTACGGTTGAAAAACGGTCCAGTTACGATCCAAAATACGGTTATGGTTAGCTTTTGGTCATGCTTACTAGGCATGACCAAAAGGCTAACCGTAACCATATGGTGAACCGTACCGGACCGTTTCTCAATTGTAACCGTATAAAACGGTTAAAACCGTAACAATAAAAAATAATTAGTTACAGTTAAAAAATATATTAACCGTAACCGTTAATTAACGGTAAACATATGAAAACCGTTATTTAACCATATGGTAAACCGTATAGTTAAAACTTTAAAAATATAATTGTAACTCTATATAATGCAAAAAAAATTATCGAATATTCAGATTAAGATTTTCAAAAAAGTAAATGATACCGCATATGAAAAAATCTACGTTATAAAAAATGGTCTTTTTCTCAAACAAATATGTTATACTGTTATTTTGCTCGAAATGAAGAAAATTTGGTTTGTAACATATTTTTTGATTTTATGAAAAGTATTATAATAAGTTAGGTAACTCGTAAGATTTCGCCTCCGATATTAACCGTATTGTACGTAGTCATCAAATAACTATAACCATAATTATCCGTAACCGTTGTAACCGTAACCGTATTTAACCGTAACCGTTATAACCGTATTTAACCGTAACCGTTATAACCGTATTTAATCGTAACTGTATTTAACCGTTACCGTTTTAATTTATTTTTGTTTTTGTCCAAAAAAAACAGTTTTTTTTTTTTTTTTTAATTGTGTACCGTTTTTCATAAAGTTTTTGTGATTGGTAACTGTACAACTTTAAAATTGGTTACCAATCATAGCCAATATGTTTGATTAGTAACAAAAAACTATACAACTTTTTAGTTGTAAGTCGAAGCGGTAAGTTTTTACGAAATAGTACAAATTAAATTGTACAAAATAGTGATACATAAAAATTGTACAAAAAACTGAGAGTAACGCTTTTAGTAACATTTTTTGTGTTTAGTAACTATCAAAACAATATACCTTATATTGCAGTTGTATGGGATTACCATTCAAACCCAATAACTTTTTACACAATCTCGTATACTTTCCGATGTTTACAAAAAGTGTTTATCACATTATACAAATTCTGTGTTTGTTGTTCAATGTATTAAATAAATATCTTATCATCGTACTATAGCATGCTCAAATTC